GATCTGGTGCTGTGCAACTCCTGGCTCTTCCCCAAGGCCAAAATGACCAGGAAAGGTGAATGCTTTGAATAGACTCAGGACATTGAGGCTGTCACAGCAGCACAACTAAAAGATATGCATGAAAGAGAAGATTCTCGAACTGCTTCCAAAAGTGGCAAGAATGATGGGATGAATACGTTCAAGGTGAGTGGGCTTCATGCCAATGTGTATTATATTGTAATATATTTTTAAAAGAATGTAAGCATTTCTCATACTTTTTTATCACACCTCATAAGGTATAGTATATTAGAAACTGAAAAGCATTAATTAGAAAAAGAAGGAAGGGAACCAAGAGGTATCAGGCTCTTTGTAGCCTGAGCTCAGCAGTATCGGAGGCCTTATGTGTTAGTGAAGACCCAAAGGAGGTGAAGGGTTAAATTATGTGTTATTTGGAAGGACACAGTTCCAAAGGAAAATAAAAAAGGCAGCAGCAAGTGCAAAGGCCCTAAGGTAAGAACCCTACCCAGCACCTTTTCAAAACCAGCAAGGAAGCGATTGTGGGTGGAGCAAAGAGCAGAGTGGAACATGGAAGGAGATGGTTCAGAGAGGTAATGACATGGGGCCAGACAGAACACTTTTGTTAGCCATCCTAAGGATTCTGATTTTCACTCTGAATGAGCGAGAAGGTTTTGAACAAAGAAAGCTATCACTTGATCACAGTTTCACCTGATTGCTCCAGCAGCTGGGCTGCAGATGGGTTGGAAAGGCCAACAGCAAACATAGGAGGCCTCCAGAGGTTACTCCAACACTCCAGGGGAAAGGCCAATCCAAGGCACGGAGCTGGGGCAAAGTACCAGAGTGGGAAGGAGTGTCAGATTACAAAAACAGGCAAAAGCACAGGCGCCAAGAAGTCTGAACCCAGGCACACACTTGACATCTCAGCCTTCAGGAGACTGAGGCGAGAGAATCATGAGTTTGAGGCCAGCCCAAGCTACACAACATGACCCTGTCTCAGAATTCTAAATAATGAAGTACACAATTTTAAAACATGTTCAAGTATGTTGTTTACAATTTAGAGAAAGTAAAAGTAATTTAAATGTCCAATGATAGAAGACAAGTTCAATATACTATGGTTCATCCATTGGTTTTAAACCTAAAACATCTGTACTGATTGAGAAAATACGCTACTTTTAAATTAAAAAGCCAAGTGTGGGGCTGGGGTTGTATCTCCATTGTAGAATGTATGCTTAGCACACATAAGACTCTGAGGTAATCTCCCATACCCAAACCAAATGACAACTACAAAAAAGAGTCAAGTGGATAACATTAATTTTTAATGCTACTCTAACAAAATATGTTTTGGGACCATTAAAATACATCTTGTTGGGCTGGGGATGAGGTTCAGTGGTAGGGTTCTTACCTTGCATGTGAAAGACTCTGGGTTCTATCCCCAGCTGCACGCGCACACACACACACACACACACACACACACAATTTGTTCACCAATTAAATATACAATCCTAGAATCACTGACATTAGAATTTCTGATTTAAAAAAAAAAGGAGCTATGCACCAAATAGAAATATACATCTGTACCTGTCAAATTAGTACACCAGTAATAATTCATAACTGGTTGAAACAAAGCATGTGCTTCTATTCTTTTTAAATTGTTTGGTACAGCAGATACAGTCTAGGGAATGAAGAAAAAAGATTCTAGGTCACTAACAGTGAAACTTTTAGAGACCAAGTGCCAAACTGCAACCCCAAACTGACTTACTTATCATAAAGTGCCATCACTGCAATTAACCTGAATACTGAGGTTGTAGTTTATAAAAAAGACAACTCCTACACTAACATCTTTTGTCTTAAAAGAAAAACACAATAACACATGTGCCATTGGTTCATTATCACTGTGCACTGTGGTTTTTAGAAATTAAGACTGAGTTTGCTATTAAAAAACCTCTAAGATCCAAACAAACAGAAAGATTTGTCTAAAGAGTGAGACTGAGAAATGAATATGTGATTTTCAATCTATATATTTGTCAAAGAACCATTTGGTAGAGGCTGGAAATGGTAGATAAGAATCATCTCAGTGATCATTAATGAATCATTCCCTATATGCCAGGAACTATGTCTTGTGTTTTTACCATAGCTTCTAATTGTGTACCACGAAATCTAATTTCACATACTTGCCCAAGGTCACTAGCTAACATGCACAGGAGAGGTAAAACCAAAACCCATGCTGTTGGAAGCCAAAAATACCCTCCTCGCTGTAACACTGTATTAAGCAAGGTTGACTAGATGGATTTCTGAGGCTTTTCACGATAGTATATCCAGCAGGATTCCATTCAACTGCAAGTAACAAATCCTGACAATGAGTGCCTTAAACACTAAAAGGATTACAACAAGGATAAAGATAGACAGTTTACAGTGGGTACTACTGCTTCTGTCTTGTGTGCTGTTCTTTGGCCTAAGATTACTGCTTTCTTTGTTGTTGTTTTTTTTTTAAATTTTATTTAAAAGGAAAAAGAGAAAAACACAAGACAAAACAAAGCGGTGTAAGGGTACAAGTAATACAGAACTACAAAAAAAAAAAAAAACCAAAAAACAAAAAAACAGTAAGAAATCACCAGTTAATAGATTACATATTATCATCTTAGAGATAGTTGCTCAAATCACAGTATCAAAGAATACAAAGTGGACATTCAAACAGTGAGACTGCAAACAGCTGTGTTCAATGATCCAACCAAAAACATTAATATGGTCAGCTATTTAACACCCCTAAACACACTTGCTGTTGTATCCTTTAGAGCTCTTTTTTTCCCTCTCTTTTTTCAACAAAATTTACACATTTTGGGTTTTATTACTCCTTAGTTCTTATTACTTTTTTGGGGGGGAGAGAATAAAGTCAAATATGGCAAAACAAAGCTAAGACTACTGCTTTCCTTCCAGCCTCAGGCGAAGAAGAAAAGAGGAAAATTGAAAAGGGCTCAGTCAGCTTCAAAACACAAAAGCCAGCCCAGTATTCCTGCCTGCATTTCATTGGCCAAAATTGTATCATGTAATCTTTGTTTTTACATCTCATTGGCCAGAATTTCCTTGTCACTCCAGCAATGCCTCTGGGAAGGTGAGGCATATGATTGGTACATGGTTTCCTTGAAGGAAACTCAGGTTCTTTCAGAAGTTAAGAAGGGGGCAGATAGTAGTGTCTACTGCATAAAAACTTACCTGAGAGATTAGGGATGTTATAAGAGGAGCAGATACTTGAGAAGAATCAGCTTTTCTAGGCGTTCTGAGAACTCAGTGGAGATGGATTGTGCAACAAAGGAGACAGAAGGCCTTGTGTTCAGCTTCAGTTCTATTAACATGGGAAAGAATAGATTTGGGGAGACAATGAAGGGTCTGTCACATTCCTCCTCCAGCCCCTGAGAACAGAGAGTATCCTCCTGTGGGGCAGAGGTCGGATGGCAGGGGCTGATAACAGGCTTTTGAAATAGAGGGGGCATAGTAGGTACTTGGGGATACTTGGAGGTGTTGGGAATGTTAAAGGATAAATACTGTCTCCTGAGTCATCCTGGAGAAAAGCACTGAGAGTAAGTTGGCTTCTCAAGAGTCACCTCACCCCAGTCCTGAAAACTATTTTCTGTTCCATAAAAATAAGTAATAATCCTACATTGGAGGGTTGATGAGAGTCTGGTTTGAAGTTATGTCAGCCTAGCTCCTGTTTTTATAGCATGCACTCCACAATGACTATTACTTTTGTTAGGAGTCTGATCTGAACCCCACAGCCCCCATCCTCTCCCTCCTTGCAGCGCTCACCAGCTTTCCATTCCCTGAGAACATGAACTCTTACTCTTTGCCTCACTTGCCCACATGGACTCAGGAGCACCTCGGAGCCTGTGAATCCTGTAGTCTTCATGATTCAGCCACCTACCTGCTCTAGGATGTCCTTCCTAACCTCCTGTTATGGCTTGTGTTTACACGTCCCCCCAAAGCCTCATGTGGTCATAGGTGGGGCTATTTAAGAGGTGACTGGATGTACAGTGTGTGATGCTGGGATTGATTCATGGGCAGTGCTAGGCTCACGGGTACTAGGATTAAGGCTGTGGCTTCTACAACCCTAAGCAGTCTGGATAATAGGGACACAAAGACTAAGATACAGAGGTGGGTGAAGTGCTACTCAGTCTAACAAGTCATACTTCTGTCATATTGTTACAGGCAGCGGGTTACTTAGAAATATTATAGGCAGTCAGCCAGGGGTGAGAGCCCTGAAAGGAGCCTTAGAAGAGACAAACACCTCCTGCTGTGGGCCAGCTCTCAAAGACCGAAAGCAAAACAAATATCACCACATTCTAAGGATCCACAGTGCAAATAGTTCTCTATCAGCCTGAGCAAGTCAGGAGTCACCATCCAAACCCCCCAGAGGGAGAGTCCCTGCTGTTCAGCATGCCTACTTACTGCGTGAGTCTCCCCCATTTGTTACCGATTTAATCAATTTACCTGAGCAATTAACCTTATTGGTTGACCACAGTTCTGTTCCACCTTATGCCCATTTTTCCCCCCTTGAACCCATCTCACCTCATGATTTTACTCTATAAAAGTCCCTAAAAAAAGACAGAGTTTTTTGGCAACCCCCTGAACATCTCCCAGACATAAGCTTTATCTCTCTCAATAAATATATTCACTCAACCTCTGTTGTGCCTAAAATTTATTCTTCGATTTTAGAGTCCAGGAACTCATACCAGACATACAGTAGGTCAGGAGTTTCATCCTCCTATATCAATGTTTCTGACTGCTCTCCTGACAGACATTAAGGAGTTCCTGGCAAGGACAGTCCCAGACTTTCTGGAAGATGAAAACAAGCTCAACCCATACCTCTTGTTCAAGGTTCTGTTTACAGACCAGGAAGAAACTGTGCCGTATTTTAAATGTTTACACAACTAAAAGTCCTAGGTGTTCAACAAACATTTGTTGTGTCACGGAAAGAAGTCTGGGAAAACACACAAAAAATCACTGCAGTGTGTTATTTGCAGACTTTTATTTAAAAAAAAAAACATACAGTGCACCTCATGACGTTGCTTAGTGGCATGCAAGTTTCAAGTTCATCCCGTTTATATTGTCACCTACAGGCAAATGGCAAAAGTGAAAATTTATAAACCTGGCTAAGGGATGAGAGGCCTTCGTCCTGCTTGCTGGGAACTCGGGCAGCTGCTCGGCTGTGGCTGGATACTGAAGCCCTTGCACGAGCTAGGGGGTCACTAAGCACCCACACCCCGCACCTCCGGTGGCGTCCCTTCCCAGCCCCCCACCCCCACCCCGGGAGGCAGGTCCTTACCCCTCCCCGCCTCACCAGCAGGGGGCGCGCTCGGCCCACCGCCCGCGGGATGCCCAGAAGGGGCCCGCTGACGGACTGCCCGGCCGACGTCGCTTTTCCGGGTCTGGAGCCGGCCGGTCGGCAGCAGCGGGGTCGCGCCGGGGCCCGGGGCTCGGCCCTGCCCCTCCCGGAGCGCCCGGGCGGAGCGCGGCGTGCGGCCCCGCCCCCGTGGGCAGCGCCGGCCGAAGGGCAGGTGCCTCGCGGTGCCCTGGCGCGGGCCGGGTGGGGCCTGTGCGACGCGGACGCGGACGCGGACGCCGACGCCGCCGCCGGGCAGAGCTGCGGCTGCGGTGAGCGCGGGGAAGGCCCAGCTTCCGGCCGCCGGCCGCGGCCACCTGTGGTCCACGGCGCCCCTCTCGCGACTTCGCCGGCGGGGCGCCCCGGGGGTCCCAGGCTCCGGACGGTGGCGCCGCCTCGCCTTCCCGCGGGCGCCTCGCCGCACGTGCGTTTCTCCCTGCGCCCCCCGCCGGGGCCGCGCCAGGCCGGGGCCGAGCCCCGGGAGTCCGCGGGGCTGTTCGTATCCCGAGGCCGGCGCTCCGGCGGTTGCACGGAGCCTGCTCACTGCCCCGAAGTCCTCCGCTGACCCGAGCCCGCCCGGGGAGCTCGGCGGCTGAAGGCCCCTTTCTGGCCCGCGCAGGTGATTCTGCAGGCCGTCCCTGGAGGAAGTGCAGCCCGGAGCCCTGCGGCTGCGACTTGGCGGAGGGGTCGCTGCCCCAGTCCGGGACACAGCCCGCCGGCCAAGGACGTAAGTGACCGCTGGGTGCTCAGCATTGTTTTCTCGATACCTTGTAAGTCTCTACCTTCGTGTGTGGCACTTTCTGCACTGCTGTGGTGTTCCCCAGAATGGTCCCTGGAAACGTCAGTGGTGTGGCTTCTGTGAGAATCGCAGGAGTGAGGAATTCGTGACATAGAAACAGTTTCAGGTGTAATGTGCAGTGCAACTTGTGAACTGCGGCTGGATCTTCACCTGATGAAAAAGTTTTAAAATATTGAGACAATAGAGATTTATACTTATTATTTGGTGTCTACTTGGTTTGATGTATTTTGTAATGTATTTTTAATAACCTTTATCTTTTAAACTGAGGTTGAAAGTTAGGAGATTTGCGTCTTAGTAACCCAGGTTCTAGGAGTGCTACTGACAGAGAAATGGGGGGAACTAGAGGAAAATAGATTGGCTGTGAGTTGTTGAAAAGTTGAAGTGATGGCATACATGTCTTTGCGTTTGATTCCAGATTCAAGGCCACCCAGAAATCCTCATTGTAATGTGGTTGTCGAGGCCGCTTCTCCAGTAGTAAGTTTTCTTTCTCACCCTCTTTGGAGTACTGATTTCTTTTGCTCAAAAGGCTCAGGGTGTTTACTGAGCTCAGGTGTCAAAGGCCAGTGGATCAAGTTGATGCTGGGTCAGCTCTTTCTGCACAAAGGGTATTAGCGAAGCTGCAGATTGTAGAAAACATGTTAGCAGCAGGTTTTACAGTTGTCCAAATCCCTTCCAGATAACACTCATCTCCAATGTGGTGAACAAAGTGTGCCCTTTTAGAAGCACTGTACGTGTCAAAAGGTTTACATAAAACCAAAACCCAAGATGGGTAGAGATCTTATGTGAAAGAAAGCTTTCTTTTGTGTTGATTTTTTCATGTCTTTATCAGTTTGCTGCAGAGATCACGATATGTCAATATATAGTGAAGAACTGACTCCTAAAAATTCTGCATAGTGTTAACATCGTTCTTTTCTCCAAGAACCATGCTTCAGCAGGGATGGAGGGGTGTCTAGAGGGTATATTCATCTCATTTTGCTCATTTTTCCCCCTTGGGATTTATCTTAATTCTGATTCACTCTGCCATGCTGGTTTAGTAATTGTAGAAGTACTGATTTTTTTTTTCTTACAGTACGCTGTTGAAGTTCAATAAGGAGAGACACACTCTTTGAAGATAAACCCATAGTTTATAGTAGTTTCAGTGTAGCTGATTTTAGTGCCTCCTTAATGTAAAAAAGAAAACAAGACAAATAATACAAGTAAAAAGTTAAGTGTTAGATGAATTCTTTTAGCCTAGACCTTACCCTTGTAGATTAATTAATGTAAAAGAAGTTGTAAAGATGCTTTAAGATTCAGTTGAGGAGTGCTCTAAGGAATGATCTAGTTTCACTGTAATGTGTAGGAAAAAAAAGAACCAACCAATATCCTCTGACAGTTGGAAAGTTATCGTGAATTTGTGATGATACTTCAGTGAAACTGCTTGATTTTATTGCATGAATAAAAGAAGTATGCGACTGTTAAGCAACTTTATTTTCTACCTCAGTTTCCTCTCCAGTTTGAACATGAAGAGAGTGTGGAAGGAGAAAATTTGCAGGCTTTTAAGTGACCTTGACCTGATGTTGATTATTCTCCTCATTAGAGGGTGGTGAAATTAGTCTGGAGAGTGGACTGCTAATAGCTAAGGAATTACCTCAAATGTGGCCCTGTCTTCTCTCCATTTCATGTTATTGAAAGGGGACAAGTGCATTAAAAAAGCAGATTGCTCCTTTGATGGCCTTGAATGAGAGGAATGGGTGTTGGCCGTTGAACCAACAATATTCTACCTTGGTAAGCACCTTGGTTTCATCCACATCATCTCCTCCCATCCTATGGTGATGCAGCAGTGGAAGTGTTACTTTGGCTTTTCAGGGGTGGAAACATTGAACTTAAGGCGGTTAAGATTTAAGTTGCTTCTTCAGGGTTGCAGCAGAAGGAAACTTAGTGTTCATTAAGAGTTCCTGGTAGTTTTCACACACTTGTTTCTCATTCTCACAAATCTAATTGGATATCACAGCTCAATATGCACGTGGTAATTGCAGCTTAAGAGAAGTTGCTAGTATGCTTGAGGGGTTGGAGTGTCCCAGTTACTTGAATACTGACTCAGAAGAATCAAAGATTCAAGACCAGGCTGGGCAACTCAGCAAGAACCTGTCTCCAGGCGGGGAGGGCGGGGGCGCAAGATTCAAACCTGGCTTTTGGGGGCATTAGGTCTGTGTTAGTTGCAGCTGTTGCCGTTTGACACTGCTGTTAGCAGGCAGCAGCCTGAGGTGTCCCCTGAGGTTGCACTGTTGTTTCTCTTACAGTGAGAAATCTGTGTGTTACAGTCCCAAAGGGAATAGCCAGATACATTGACAGGAAATAAAAAGGCTATGTTTATTCTGCAGTCCTTCGGTGTCAGAAGAATGAGCACAAGTTGTCGTTTTTCCCTCATGTTCTGCCTGCTTTTCTCACATACACAGGACTTTAGATTTGCTACCCTTGCAGTTTAAAAAAAATGGAGCCCATGTGTACGCAAGTTGTAAAAAGCCAGGGATGACACCAAAATCATACACTGTGAGTGCTTTGTGAGTGGAAAGATGAGCCTGGTGTACCTTGGGAGTCCCCCAAAGCCTTTCCTTTGTAAGCACCTTGATTCAGGGACCCAAATAGATGCTGAGATGGAGCTGCCCTAAACTGGATCCCAGTCACTCAGTCTCCCAGACCTTGCAAAGTTTCCCCCTCATCCTTCTCTGCCCACCACACTCCTGCTAATGACAAGTCTGCTTTTACACTAAGCACAGCCGCCTGAAAGCCTTTAGGTGTTTCTGCAATATAGATTTCATTTCTGCCTCTTGAAACTTGTAAAGGTCATGGGACAAATGTCCTTACCTGGCGCTTCATCTGCTTGGGTTTTTGTGTCTTTCCTGAGCCCTGAGTGTTTATAGCCTTGTGTGTGTGTTTATTGATGTGGAGGAAAAATGAACCTTATGGAATGGTCTTGAAGAAAATTGAGGAGCTACTTTGATTGGACCTGTGTTAAAGAGTAGGGGAAAGGATGGGGCTGCAGTGGAACCCGCTGGTTGAGGCTGAAAGCAGTAAGTTGAGAGGCTGAGGTGTTTTGTAAACACCCAGGACCTGGGACTTCAGGGCTGCACTTCCCAGGGTGGTTGGTACTCCCCCATCACGGATAAGTGGGTGATTACATATTCTGTAGAGCACACAAAGGCAAAGCGAATCAGTCCTGAATGTGGACTTAGCCAGGTTGCTGGGGTTAATTCCTGGTTTTTTGCTACCTGTGTAATCGCGGCCTACTTTTACAGTCTCTGCACCTCATTTCCTTTCTAATGTTGCCTGCATTCTAAAGCTGTTAAGATTAAACGGCACGTCAGGAGTTTCTCCCAGGGCCTTCGGGGAATGAGGTTTCATCAGCGTCAGCTGTCATTGGTGTTGATGGCGCTGCCTCTCTTACTTTCCCTTATTAAAAGGAATTCCTACCCTGTCATGTGGCTGGAATAAGAGGACAGGGTACAAGTGCTTTCCAGCTCTCACCCTTCTGTTTACAGACTGACCCGTGGGCTGTGGTGTGGGATTTGGGAAACATGCTCCATGAACACTAATTATTTGGTGTGGCAGCTACTTTTGAATGGATAAGAGCTGGGCCTGACCGTTTGGCTTTGAACCAAGGCTTCATCTCTGTTGTTTGGGGATTAAAGTCCCCTCTCCCTGTGAAAGCAGATGGAATCTCCTGGCGTTTTAGTGTGGATGAAGGGCAGACCTGTGTCAGCATGGGCCCCTGAGCCCCAGCTGCAGGTGTGCCTGGCAGAGGTCAGGCTGGATCCTCTGTGCATCCAGTGTCTCATGCCAATTGGAGGTAAGCATAGGACTATCACGAGAGGCTAACAGGATTTCACTGGCATAGTGAACTATGTCTGATTTTTCCCTTTGTGGTAACTTTAGATATATTGTCGGATTTACTTTTCTTCTTGGAAAAGTATTATTAATGACGTTAACTGACTGATAAAAAGATTTAAAGTGTTTCCTAATTTTAAAGAGGGATATCTAATTTGATCTTCAATGCACCCAGCTATAAACCCACTGTGGGTTAAGGTAGTAGCGCACCCCCATGGTCCAGTATCACACACCTGTGATCCAGTAACTCTCCCAGCTCTCACCTATGAGTGTGTGAGATATAAACAACAAAAGACAGCTTAAAAAATAAATACGCTTCCCTCAGTAGTCCTGATTCAGGGTCAGGGGAGTCTGGGAGGCTAGGGGAATCCCGTCCCGTCCACCTGTGAGAAGCCCTGCCACATAGGGCTTTATGCTGTGTCTTATTGAAAGCCCTTTCCCGTCCTTGTCACAACCTGGGAAGTTCATATCTGTAATCCCATGGAAAGTTACTAGAGTTCTAGTGAGTTCCAGTCTATTACTTCTGTTGCAACCCATGGTGAGAATAAAGACACCAAGGCATATTTCTAGTTGTAAGGAAAAAGGAGGTCCTAAGTGATAAGATTTTGGCAAGATAGACAAAGAAATGACATGTCAACAGTTGACTCGAAGGAGCATCTGTGCACAAAACAGGAAATAGATTTACTGGGAACTGGGGGTAGAATGCTTGGGTGGTTGTGGAGTGTTGGGATTGGAGAGGGCTCGGTGTATGTGCAGAGGGTGCAGGAGGTTTATTTCTGGAGTGAGAAGAACAACACACAAGTTACTCTTAGATAAGTTGCTTCTCAGGGCCAATACCAAATTGGGCAGATGTCTTGTTAGAGATGGCTAAGCCCCAGGCTAGCAGAATCTGTCACTAAGTCTAGCTAGGATGATGGCTAACCAAAGCAAAGGCCTTGGCCCATGGCTGAACCCAGATTTTATTAATCCATGAAGGAGGGGAGTGAGTGAGTGGGCGTGGGAGAGGCAGGAAGTACATGAGTGCGTGAGCTGGGCTAGATCGGAGACCTGAAATTATCTCTGCAATATGCAAAGAGAGCTATGTAGAGTAATGTGTGTTACGTAATTCGAGGCAGTCGCTAATGTTTTGGGGTCAGTGCTTCAGCTCTAAAGTGTAACTTTTTATGCCCTGAGATGCCATGGCCTCTTTTCTCGAGGTTCGAACCCAGCCAACTCTCCCTCCTGCCCAGCTCTGCCATGCTTCTTGGGAGCTACAGGAGGGGCAATACTGACTTGTTGCCTTGTTTCAAAGGGGATAAGGAAACGTGCTCGCCAGCTCTGTACATAGCAATACATGGAAATAGGGCCAGGATTGGCAAAATGGAGACAACTGCTCTTTTTTCAAGGAGAGTCATGCAGGTGGTCCTCCACAGTTTCTGCCATTAAGAATTACATTTGGCAGCATTTTCCCGTTCTTTATTAGTTTGTTTCTCTTGGCTGCAGGTAGTCCCTCATTTGAATAATTCTCTATTGTTAGTAAGTTGTTTTGATGCTGTTAGGGAAGGATGTTTCATAGACCATCCCAAGTGTGCTTTAGAGCAATTGTAGCATGGTTCCTTCCTCTAGTTTTGATTATTTCTGGATAAACTCTTTTGTTCAAACACTGGGTCAAAAGCACGAACATTTAAAATGCACCAAGAGTGTAGGAAGTACCCTGTATTCTCACTGAGGGGCAGGTTTATGCCTCAGTCAGTTGTACACCTCCAGGCATGGTGACTCTGAAGTGTCACTCTGAGGGGACAGGAGACAGAGGCAGCTGCCTGAAGTAGTACAATCGTCTCTTCTTGGTGTGTGTCCTGAGTCATGACTGATGCCACCAGTCAGGCGGCAATCAGGCAGCAGCCTCTTTCAGGGTGTATCCCCACAGTTTTAGCCCTCCACCCAGGGCCCGTCTTTCAGGGGCTTGTGGAATGGAAGATAAGGGCGTTGGCCTACAGTGAATGGAGAAGTCTGGGATCTGTGGGAGCTGATTAACACCCAGCTTTTTTGCTTCTTAACTATGAGACCATTAGGTTTGTCCTCCCATGACATCAGGAACCTCATGTTAAATAACTTCATTTTGAAAAGTATACTCATATTCTTACATTTTTAAAAAGTAAAATGTCACCATTCTATGAATCAGTCACAGTTTGAACTTGGATGCCTCGAATATATTTTTGACCCTCCATAAATATTTTTAAAGCAAAATAAGTAAATACATAGAGAATAAGCAGTTTGGTATATGTTAAATATATTTTGTATGTGTCACATGACATAATTAACACACTTTAAAATAAATCTTTAGCCACCCATTTATGTTAACTGGTTTACACTCACTTCCTCTTCTGTAAAGGAGAACTAAAGTAACAGATGTACTTAGAGGTGCATTTGGAGGTTAGTGAGTGGCCAAGGGAAAACACTAGAAATCGGTGAGGGAGAGGCTGGAACCTAGTAAGCTTCAGAGAACTGGGACAACCTTGGAATAAAAGAAACAAAGTAACTTTGACACCTGTCACCTTGGCTGCTTTCCTGGAGGAGGCAGTGTCTTCTCCTTTGCACCAATGAAAAGTGCCAGTCAGCTCATAACAGTGTAGCTGCTGCCAATCCTACCTATTGGAAGGTTCAGGGTCCTGCAGGCTGGCAGCCCACTCAAGTAGGAAACCTAAGATCTGCATGGTAATCTTGCTTTGGAGAAGTATCTCACATTGTCTCCCAGTGAAAGTCCAAGTCAGGCCCTTGGTCACCTAGAAACGTTTTGAGATAGGAGTTATTGCAGCAGTGGCTTTAGTGATAACAAATAACCCATTGCAGCACAGGTGTGGTCAAGTTCACCACCAGTGAGCTGTTTTGAGTTTGGAAGTCTCTAGAGGTCAGAAACCCCTGCATACTCCCATTTCTGGGACTTCATACATACCTCTGTGCACTCGCGTGGAGAGAGCTGCCTCAAAAACTCAACTAGTCCCATCAGAGTAGGGCCCTAACACCCAGTGTTGTCTATACTATACCTGCCTAAACTGCTAGAGTGTCCCTACTCTTGTGTGGCCCACAGAGACACCAGGTCTCCGCAACTCCATTACAGTGTAGTACATTGTGGTCCAAGTCATTGAGTATAGCCACAGAAGTTTAGCTGGGTACACATTATGGTATCCAGCTAAAATCAAATCCGACTTTGCATAACAGACTGACACCTCAACACACATTTTCAGGAGAAAGACTTTAGGCCACCCATTGAAGTGTCAGAGATTTGTGAACCACCAAATTTACAGATTTCAATGTAGTAACACAAGAAATATGAAAAAAAAAAGGTAATACATCTCTAGAAGAACCCAACTCCGTAGCAGCATATCCAAAGACATAAAAATGGATGAAATGGCTGGTTAAGGGTTTAAAAGAATGGCTGTTAAAAGCTCAGCGAGCACCAAGAGAATACAGATAAACAGTTTAAGGAAACAGTGCAGGATATGAATACAAAATTCAGCAAAGAGATAGATTTTGATAAAGAACCAAACAGAAATCTTGGAAATAAAAAACTTAATTAAAAGGGGTGTGTGTAGGGGGGGCACTGAAGGCCTCAATCACAAACTAGATCAAACAGAAGAAAGAAGAACACCTAAACGTAAAGGGAGATGTTTCCTAGTCAAGGAGAAGGGAGGGAGGGAAAGTAAGAGGAAGAGTATGTATGAGAATTCCAGACTTGAGGAATAAACACCTGCATTTTCAGAATACCTGAAGGTGAGAAAACAGTTAGGAATGTAGAAAATCTGTTCCGTAAAATCTTGAGAAAGATATGGACCTCTATGTATAGGAGCTTATTAGACCTAAATAGAAATGACCAAAGAACGTCTTCACCATGGCATATTATACTTAAAGTGTCAGAAGTAAAAGACAGGGACCAGGAAATAGCTAGCACGAGGTCTTGAGTTTGATTCCTGATAGCAGAAAAAGTAAAAGACAAAGAATTTTAAAATATGTACATTTTTTGGTACCAGGCATTGAACTCAAAACCTTGCACTTGCTAGGCAGACACTGTGCCACTGAGCTATATCCCCAGCCCCCTTTTTAAATTTATTTTTTCATACACATTTTAAAATAAGTTACTTTTTAAAAGCTTGTTTAGATCTTGTTCTGTCTCAATTGTCCATCGGTATCAGAGAGGAACTGGTTCCAGGGTCCCTGCAGATACCAAAAACCCATGGGGACACTCAAATCTGTTATACAGAATGACATAGCATCTGCCTACATAACCTCTGAATAGTCCTCCATACAGCTCAAAGTATTTTTAGATTATTAATAACTTATGCAAGTGCTATGCAAATAGTTGTTACACTGGGTTGGTTAGAGAATAAAAATTTTAAAAGATCTGTATGTGTTCAGTGTTGAGGCAATTTTTAAGAAATATTTTCAAGGGTGGTTGAATCTGGGTGCGAGCTTACACCCACAAGGTGGAGATCAGTTGTACCTGTTAATCTAGCAGCTGGAACATCTTGGTTTAATCTTATCTATTGACTGGTACCTCTTGCCATCTATTTAAGTCTTCTTTAGTTTGTTTCAGAAGTGTTTTATAACATGTAGCATTTATAAAAATCTATCCTTTAAGTCTTTTGAGGTTTTGAGTCTATTGTTTTTAACACGATTTTCTAATTGCTGCTGTATATGGAAGTACAGATTTCTTTTTTGTTTTTATTTTGTGGCTTTGTTTTTGTTTGTGTTTTGTTCTTTGAAGTACTGGGGATTGAACTCCAAGCTGTATCTCCAGCCCATTTTTATTATTTTGAGACTGAGTCTCAGTAAATTGCTCAAGCTGGGCTTAAACTTGGTGGTCCTACTTCAGCCTCCCAGAGTGCTGACATTATAGCCTGTACCAGCCTGCCTGGCTTAAAATCACAGATTTTATTTATTTATTCATTTATTTTTGGTACCAGGGATCAAACTCAGGACCACGCACTTGCATGCAGATGCTTATGCCACTGAGCTAAATCACTGGCCCCCAAATTGCAGATTTTAAAAGTGACTTGCAGGTGTACTAAGCCCCCTCTTGGACCTTCACAGAGGAGAGAGTAGCTGCAGGAGTTGACCACCAAGTGGCCAATGATCTACTAAGTTACAGCGTATAAAGAAGCCTCCATAAAACCCAAGAGAACAAGGTTCAGAGAGTTCTCTTATTGCTCAGCACAGGAGATTCCTGGAAGGCATGCACCCAGAGAAGGGGGTGCAATCCCTGGACTTTGCTCTGGGTAATCTTTTTTTTTTTTTGTACCAGGGATTAAACTCACAGCCTCACACTTACCAGGCAGGCACTTATGCCAATGAGCTAAATTCCCAGCCCCGGGTAATCTACTTATCCAGTAGTTCTTTTCCCTGAGTTTCGTGAGCTACTTCTACAAATTGAATATAATAAGGGTCATGGAACTCCTGACTTAGAAGTAAACTGATCAGGGTCTAAAGCACAGAGCGTGTGTAACCTGTCTGTGCAGTTGGCATCTGAAGTCAGCAGCAGTCCCATGGGACTGAGCCCTCAACCACGGGGCTCCAGTACTGTCTCTTGGTAATTAGGGTCTGAATTAAATTAAATTGTTGGGTTCCCAATTGGTGTCCACTGGAGAGCCTTTGTTGTGTGGGGGAAACACCCATACATCTGGTGTCAGAAGTGGTGTGTAAGAGGAGAGGGGGAAAACTTTTTATAAAATACAAACCAGCCAGGTGTGGTGGCACATGTACTCAGGAGGCTGAGGCAGGATGATCACTGTGAGCTGGAGGCTACAAAGTGAGTTCAAGGCCAGCCTGGACTATAGAGTGAAACTTTGTCTCAAAAAAGACAGCAAAACAAAACAGTAACTTCCTTTCTTTAAGAGGACCAACAGAGCAGTAATCATTAAGAACCAAGAGGCAATCTATAGTTCAGAGATCATTTGGAGTTAAACCTCTCCTAAGAGCATGTTGTTAAGCAGTGAGCCCGTGTACAGTTGAACATTTTTGATGATAGTGCAATCACTAGCTCCCAAGCTAACGTATTCTGCTTTTTTTTTTTTTTTTTTTGTCTTTTTTTGAGACAGGGTCTCGCTGTGGAGTTCAGGCTGGCCTTGAGCTCACTATGTAGCCCAGGCTGGTCTCGAACTTGCAACGATCCTCCCATCTCAGCCTCCTGAGTGCTGGGATTATAGATGTGAGCCACTACGCCCGGCTACATATTCTGCTTTTAAACAACTGTCTTCACTATGGCACAGAGAAATTCCATTCTCATATTGGTTGACTTCTTTAGATATACTGCCTTTATATTTATTTTTATTAGCACATGTTTACATTTCTTGTGTGGAGTTGGTGTTTGTACATAACACATCTAAATTCACTTTTTCATCCCCTTTTCTCTTCCCTACCCCTCTCTCTACCTCTTGATTCCCTTCCCATTTGAGAAAGCTCTATCTCCCATCTTTTATTTTGCTCTTTTAAAAATATACTTTAGATTTCTCATCTAAGAGAAACCAGGTAACATTTAAGCTTGTACCTGATTTATTTCAGTTAACACTATAGCCTCAAGGGGTATCCATTTTCCTACAAATGACTCGGTTGTTTCTTCGTGACACATTAGTGCTCCATAACGTGTAAACACTACATCTTCTTTATCGCTTTGCCTGTTGAGGGACATGCTGCCAAGATTGAGTTACTGTGAATTGTGCTGCTGTAAATATGTTATGTGTGTGTCACTGTAGTATGACGTCTCTCTTACAGGAGATGCCTGGAAGGGGATTAACTGAGTCAAACGCAATTTCTAGTTTTAGTTTTCTGAGGAGTCTTTACTGATTTCTGTAACGTTTACGAGTTTACAGTCCTACCTACAGTGCAGAGGGGTTCCTTTCTCTCCTGCAGCTCACCAGCATGTGTTGTTAGATTTCTTACTGATGGCCCTTTCTTGGATAAGATGCAGTCTCAGTGCTGTTTCAGCACGTTCCCAGCATCTTGAACCGCTGTACTTGAGTGCTGTCCCATTGGGTGGCTCATGCCATTGGTGATACAAGAGATACAGGCTTGCGTGTACCACCAACGTTCAAGCCACCAAGTTGTGAGGCATGAATTATGGCCCTGTCATGAATGTGTTAATGTGCATCTCTCCAAAGACCAGCAGTGTTGAGCATTTCTTCAGACAACTACTGGCCACTAATAGTTCTCTTATGAAGTGTCTATTCATTTCAGTTGCCAATTTTTTGATTGAATCTTTTTCTTTTGGGCCATCTGATTTTTTTTTCTGAGTTCTTTATGCTAGATATTAGTTCCTGGGGAATGACTGGCAAAATTTTATTCCCATTCTCTAGGTGGTTTTTTCATTCTGTTGGTGGTTTTCTTTGCTGTACAGAAGCTCTTAAATTTGTATGATCCTATCTGTTGATTCCCTGTACTATTTCCTGTGCAGCTAGGATTCTGTTCAGAAAATTCCTGCCTATGCCTATGACTTTGTTTACCTTTTAATCTCCCAGCAGGTGAAGTGTTTTTGCTTTAACATTTACTTCTCTGATTCATTATGATTTTAGTTTAGTACATTGTGGGAGATACGGGTCTAGATTCAATCTTATGCATGTACATAGTCAGTTTCCCCAGCACTGTTTCTTAAAGGAGCTATCTTTCTTCTAGTGGAGTGATGGTGAACCTTTTGGGGCTTTTAATCGTACAGCCTACTGCAGCATATATACCATACCTTTACCTCCACTGCCCTACTGTATGTTTTTGGCCCCTTGGTCAAAGATCAAATAGTTGAATGTGCTTAGGTTGTTTGTGCATCCTCTGTTCCAGTCCATTAATTTTCATGTCTGTTTTTGTGCCAGTACTATACTGTTTTTATTAGAGTAGCTTTGTAACAATTTCAAGTCTAGGACCGTGATGCTTCCCATTTTGTTCTTGTTACCCAGGATTGCTTTTGCTATTCTCAGCCTCTTCAGGTTTCATATGAATTTTAGGATTGTTTTCTCCAAGTCTGTGAAGAATGCTGTTGGTATTTTGATTGGGATTGGATTAAATCTGTATAACAATTTTGGAAGTATGACCATTTTGACAGTATTGGTTCTGCCTACCCAGGAACATGGAATGTGTTGGTTTCTAAAAGGAGACAGGTCCCCAAAACAGGATGCCACAGATGAAAAGAAAACAAAAGGAAGACCAAGTTATGGGATGGGGGCGGGGTGGGGGTGTTTACAGTCTCTAGGACCAAAGCCCTAATTACAGTTTTCTCTGGCTTTTTATTAGATTCTTCTGTTAACAAAGAACAGAAGTGGGAAATGGGAAGGATAAAGTACAGATAATTCACAACTTAATTGTTTAACTAACCCAGGGACCATCTCTGGCTATATCTGGCTTCATTTTACTGTTCTTTTGGGCACATCTTAGCAAAGCATCTCATGCCGTCCCAGCAGCATTCCACTGAGACTAAAGTACCGCATTCATTACCTTAAACACAAAGCATCTGTAAGATTTCCTCCAGAACAGCCAATCATAGTAGAGCACAAAGTCCTTGCATTGGCTCAGATTAAATTAATGTAAATCTGTGGCCCACATTTCCCCCTTATTGTTTATTAGCAAGTCTCTGTAATACCAACGTGAGGGCTGCAGTTTTTCTTCCAGTTTCATGGTTAACTGCTAGAAGAGGGTCACCAGACCAAGAAAAGGAGCAAACAAGGACCAGTTATACCATAGAGAACAATGGCAGATGTTTGAAGAAAAGGTAATTATCTTAAAAGATTCACATGTTCTATTAATTGCCCTTAGTTTGTAACAGATCAGTTCCTTGTAGTAATTCTAGTTTGTTGTTAAATGTCTCAAACATCTCTTCCTGTGGATTTCCATCTCAAAGGATGTGTCCTTGATTCATTAAATGTTTTTGACCTTCTGATGAACGTCTGTCATTGCTCCAGCCTCTAAGAAAACCATAGGTACTTGCATCATAGACCATGGTGAGGCCACGATTGCCAGGATATATGGATACATCAGCTCCTGTGTCTACTGGTCCAGTAAACATTTTTCCTTCTGTCTCATCTTGTAGTTCTTTATCTCCTATATATGTCTGCAAAAAAATCTTTCTTCTCTAGCTCCCAAACATCCTGCTCTTCCCACTGGAGCAGCATGGCCCTTAATGTGAGGAAGGAGCAATCGTTGTGCTGTGTCATTTGATGCGGTTGCAGTATTTGCACCATTACTTGAATTTCATCCTTATAACCTAAATCGATTATGCCTATTCGATCTGTGATTCCTTTAGAAGTTAAGCTACTTGCCAGTAACAGACCTCCAGTCCCTGGTGGCAGTGGTCCATAAATTCCTGTTTTGATCTTTTGAACTCTTAAAGCTGGAGATAACATTTTCCTTGGACAGACTGTCCAAGGCTGCACGGCTGCTGGTGGCAGCAAGGGAATCACTGACTGTGTGGGAGCATGGTTGTGGCCACTCCTGACAGGAAAGGCTTGATGATTCTCCGTAAGTTTGGAGTTTCTTTCCAGAGTCAGAAGAGCGCCCTTTAGGATATTTTGATTGGCACTGACTAGCCCAGTGCTGATTAGCTTTTCTGGCTTCTTGAGTAGTTAGTTTCCTTTTTCAGAGTTCTGTACTTTTCATTGTAGAGGTAAGCACTTTTTTGGTTCATTCTTTTTTTTTTTTTTTTTTTGTCTTTTTCCTTTTTATCGGTACCAGGGACCGAACTCACAACTGCCTGCTTGCAAGGCAGGCGCTTATGCCGCTGAGCAAAATCCCCAGCCCCTTTGGTTCACTCTTAAGTATTTAATTTTTTCTTGGTGCTATTATAAATAGCATTTTCCTCTAAGTTTCTTTGGGTTCATTATTTGTTGGTCCTATTGAGTCTTGTGTGCTGAGTTTGTATCCTGCTTCATTGCTGAATTAGTTGTTGATTCTGGGTATCTTCTTGGTGGATTTTCCTTGGATCTTCTGTTTGGAGAGGGTCATGTCATCTGCAAATGTTAATAACTTGATTTCTTCCTTCTGTAGGGGTACCAGAAATCCAACTCAGGACTGTGTGCTTGCCAGGCAGGTGTTTGTGCCACTGAGCTATACCCCTGGCCCTCCATTCTTACAATTACCCCTTTTCTTTCTGTTTCTTGGCTACTTGCTCTTGCTAATGTTTTGAGTAGTATGTTGCATAGGAGAAGTGATAGTGGACATCCTTTCTCATTCCGAATTTTAGAGGAAAAGCTCTCAGTTTTTCCCTATTATTTATTCCCCTATATATTATGATGTTGACCATAGGTAAATGAAATTGAGATAACGGCCTTCTCGTTTTTGTCAGTTTTTTTTTTTTTTTTAATCATGCTGGATTTTGTCAAAGGGGTTTTTTTTTTTTTTTTTTGCATCTTTTAAGATGGCCGTATGTTTTTTGTCCTTTTGTTTAAGTGATGTATTACATTTATTGGTTGGTATATCATCCTTGGGATGAAGCCTACTTTGTTATGATAGATGAACTTATGATTCATTGTGTTCTGTTTGCCATTATGACTTAATTTTTCAGAGGTCAGTCTGGGGCCCACATAATATATTTTAATGTCTGACTGGTAATGTAGTATTAGTGTATATGCTTGTTTGTACACCAGAGATATTAGAAAGCGAAGTCAAAGTAAGTTGAGTCCTAAATTGGACGTAGTCAAATGAAGGCTAGTTTTCTGAATAGCAGATTCAAAGTAGGGCATCATTGACTTTGTGCCTTGGTGAGTGCAGGCAGGCAGTTGAACCACGACAGCAGCTGTAGTGCAGGTATGGGAGGAAGACCACACTTCATAAGTTAGTCCTCTGGTGATGAATCATTATGCAAGGCTGGGAGCAGGCAACAGTGAAGTCATCACATCATTTGCAACATTAAGATGTACAAGAACTGGGGCTGGGGATTTAGCTCAGCGGCATAAGCACCTGCCTTGCAAGCAGGCGGTCGTGAGTTCGATCCCCGGTACCGGAAAAAAGAAAAAGACAAAAAAAAAAAAAAAAAAAAAAAGAAGATGTACAAGAACTGTGTTGAGCTTGAGGCTCTGCTGCTTAAAGAACTTACGTAGCATACAAACTTTATATAGGGAGCTGCATGCGAGCAAAAAAAAAAACATTCCAGTTAAGATGTGTAATAGCTGAGGCTTGAAATAGTATAGGTAGATATCATATTAAAAAACAACCAAATGGTTGTACTGTGGTTAGGCTGTAATCAGCCTTTTCACCCAAAAAACGAGTTGAAGTACACAGAAATAAGCACTCTCGGCCTCCATGTTTAAATAATGTAACTGTTTTAGAGGGGAGGACTCCACGGGTGCTGTGCCACTAAGCAACATCACCATCCTTTTAAAATACTGAATCTAATTACACTGTGTAAATAATGGATATAGAATATCAGTTCCTTATCAAGCATCTTATGTCTCACTAAACTTGAATGACATCTTACTTTGTACTGAATCTGAATACATGTCATCAATAAAGAACCACATTTTATAAGTTTATGTTTACCTTTTAGAGGAATAAAAGTATTCATATGGATAGTTCAACATGGTTTCCTGTGTCAGTAATCAACATAATCAGTCTAATTTTCACGTGTGAGTTGAGCCACGGCAGTGGCTTAGTAGAGAGCATGAGCTTTGAAATCACACCTGAGGTTGAACTCAACTCCAGAGCTTACCTAGGAAATGTGCTTCAAGGCTGCTTGCTTATCGGGAAAAATATCATATTTTTCATTTTTGCTGTGGAGACTAAAAGATACCTAAAATCCCCAACAACACTAAAAAGTTTTCTTTCACAGGCTGTTCCCAGTCATCAGGCTCATACAAGTAGGTGTGGTACTAACTGCATTTTCTATATTGCAGCAGACAGGAACAGTTCCTGTTAGCTTTGCTCATCTTGCATCATATTTAGTGCCCAGGACTTCATCAAACTAAGACTGTACATGAGATCGCACAACACAGTTTTCTGATTTTGGTAGCAGAGTATTTGAAGTTATTAATCCTTTTTACTTTCAGCACTCAGGAATATGCAGAAGACTTCCCAGAAACTACATGAAGTATGAGCTTTCCTGAGTAAATGTAGATGAAATTTAGCTATCTGCTATTAAGCCAGACACAAAGACAGTCTGCAAAATGTGAAACAGTGCCTCTTCACTAAAAATTTTGTTTAGGAAGATATAGTAATTTTTTATTAAAAATGTTATTAAGCATATGAAAAAATAAAATATTTAAAAAGGATATTGAAACCAAGCAGTTTGAGAACCACTAGTTTACTCAACTCTGGGGATAAAACCTACAATGTAAAGCAAGATTTCTTTATGCAGATTCCGTGTTATATGTGCCCATCTCTCAGTCTTCAGTGGGCTTTGAATTTAAATGTCCTCTGCCTTCCTTGTGCTGAAAAGAAATTAAGAACATAAACAATGAGTTTCTGGCTCTAATCCCAGTAGGTCACAGTTCTTCTCAGCAGGATTTGGAAACAGTAAAATTACGTGCGCTTCTCTTCCTAAGATGGCTGTTAATGATGGTGGTTTTGTCTTCTGTCTTTCACACAGGGCTTATGTAGCATTTTGGCATAATGAAATGCAAGGAACCAACGGTGACACAAATGAAGGTGGCAAAACCAAAATAAAATAGGATCAGTAATTAAGAAGACTTTCTGGAGAGTAAGTATCATATGTTGTTAAGAATTAGTTGGGTTGGGCCCGGGGTTTAGCTCAGTGGCCTAAGTGCTTGGCAAACTCAAGGTCGTGAGTTTGATCCCTGGCACAAAGCACGGAAAAAAAAAAAAAAAGTTGGGTTTTCGCTGAGTATGGGAGCCTGTAATCCTATATAATGCCTATAATCCTAGCCACTCAGGAAGTTGAGGCAAGAGGACCACAGGTTCAAGGCCAGCCTAGCAACTTAGTAATACCCTGTCTTAGAATTTAAAAAGCACGGGAGATGAAGCTCAGCACTCCCTGAATTCAGTTCCCAGTACTTAAAAAAAAAAACAAAACTTAATTGGGTTACAAGTGAAAAGCATAGGCTATGTCAGTAAAAAGAAATTGTGACTTGTGTCTGAGGCCCCACTTACACTTTCAGACTGGGCCAGATCACAAAGCAGAGCCTGGAAAAGACACCGGTTCACTGAAAAAAACATCTACACTAACTTTTAGGCATAGGAGTTACTCATGAGTAGAAATTATACAGGAACAAGACCACATTTTATGAACACCTAAATCCCCATAGTTACTGGTTTTATTTAATCAAAGGATTTCTTTTGGAGGAGTCTTTTTGAGAGGATTTCACTATGCAGTTTAGACTGTCCTCAAACTCAGTGATTCATCTGCCTCAACCTCCTGAGTACTGGGATTATAGGTGTGTGCTACCATGCCCAGCTAAAGGATTTTTTTTTTTTTAACCTAGGAGGCAGTTTAAAGAACAAAATATTGGAATTTATAATACTGGAATTTGAAAGATTTATGAGAGAAGTGGCATACATACATAAAATAACATCTTACCTAAAATAGTTGGGATTGGTTGCCAGGATATTCAGGAAGCACTGTATAACTGCCCAGTGTCTGTCCTACTGATTGATGACAGCTTCCTGTCTTCCCTGGCTTTTGTTTTTCTTGCAGCTTTATGATTCTCTTACATACTGCATTTCAAGCTTTTCTTTCCCAGTCCTCTTCTGAAGAGGTTCCTGGTTAGTGCCGTGGTGGCTGTAGCTGACTCTCTTCTTTGTGGAACTCCTGAGCGCCTCTGGAACACCAGTTAGCTTTTCTGCCTTTCAGCTGGCTCCACATACCAGTCAGTGATGACATGGAAACTTGAGGATCATCCCTTGGTGAATCTAATTAGCTTGTTTTGTTTTGCTTAGAACTTAGGAAGGATAAAATCATCCAGTACAAGTCATTCTTTTTTACTTCTTTTATCCAAAAGATACTTCTAAAAACTGGGCCTGTATAAATATGAACCCACACCCATTTTAAGCCAGAACTGGCTTTTTTAAAAAACTAACTCTGTTGTTTTCTTGGCCCCAAGAGGCCACCTCTGGCCATTGCATCCAGGCTGCTGTCTCTAAGCAGCACCACTTGACAGTTGTCAAGTTGGCAGTGATGCTTGTGTCCGTCATGAACCTCTGATGGAACTTTTTCAGATATAGTATTGTGAGTATAGAGGAAAAACTAGAATGTAGGAAAATACTTGGGTGGTGCTTGATTTTATATTTGTGAAAAAATAATACTGCATTTTCGTAACTTTACATGTAGATGTGTATCAGCCAATTATGTATATACTTTCCTGAGTGACTCTTGACAGATGGATATATGGCCCATTCTGAATCTCTCTTCACTACCCCATTGCTGTCGTAATCATCAGTGATAAGCTTTTAGGAAAATTCATTTTTTACTTTTCAGATGCAATATTTATTTTATTCTGTAAAATTTAGTAAGTACATAAAAACCTCCAAGTATAATTTTACCATGCACAATTTTTTGTAAAAATCAGATAGTGTATTACTCCATAATTTTATAACCCAAGTTTCTCTTAACAGCTTGTGCAAATTGACTGTGATTTATTTTTTTCTGGTACTAGGCACCACACCCAGGGCCTCACTCATCAGTATTAGTTAGTCGGCTAGCCTAAAACCTGTGATCCTCCTGCCTGAGCCTCCAAAGCATCTGAGATTTACAGGTGTGCACTACCATCCCCAGCTGGTATTTAACATGTAAAAAATTCATAAGCATTAAATCTAAGAAGTGTTTTAAAAGTAGTTTTAAGTAGGAAACTAATCTTCCTCCTATCTTGAGGAACATTTTTTTTTTTTGTCTTTTTCATTTTTATCAGTACCAGGGATCGAACTCATGACTGCCTGAGGCGCGTATGCCACTGAGCTAAATCCCCAGCCTCTTGAGGAACATTTTTAATAGCTGCATAATAGGATAGCATAATGATGTACCACACATTGCATTTAACCCATCTCCAGTTGTTAACATTTGTGGATAGGTGTAATACAGGGTTTTGTTTTTGTTTGCTATTTATACTTATTGAACAGTATTACAGAGATACCACCATCAAGTCAACCTTTTTTTTTAGGACAAATTTCCTGAATCTCTTAATATCCTTTCCTGACTTCTTCCCTGACCTCTTTGAAAATCACTTTTTCCTGTTTTCAGATGCACTTATTATTACTCAAGCCTCACTTCCTGCTCTTGTGCCCCTCCTCATGGTGCTTTCTTCTCTCTCTGTAGTCTCTCAGGTCCACACCTGAATGATCATAGCCACAGGTAAACCCTTATTCCTCTTTTTCTTCACCACCGTCCCCATGATTTTTAGCTTAACAATCTGGTTTTGTGTTTTCGAGTTTCAGAGATGTCATAGTGATGATAATCCTGCACCTAAAAAGATGTGAAAACTGATATGCTAAAGGGCCTATAAACATAGTTTTTAAATTTCACTGGCAAAAAGAAAAAAAATGGGTAATGCTGTCCAGAGTCAGAGTGGAGCTGGGTTGAAAGTTATCAGTGATTGTTTACAGTGTTGTTGTGGAACATTATTCTAGGTAGGTGTTGTGGTTTTAGAAGAATAGCATTTCTCTCTTCAAAATGTTAAGATCTACACCTTAACGTAGGAGATAGTCACATACAACATTTTGGTTTAAAAACCTCAGTGCTCAGGACTTCATACATTAATTCTTGATTCTATATTCTATTACTGTTATGAGAAATATTTTTATTTATAATTTGTGAGAAATGATAGAAGTAGATTTTTAACAATAGAGGTACTTGCTTTTGTAAAAAAAATGGCATCAAGATAACATCAGATTTTTTTCTTTTTTTTGCAGGGATGGAAAATAAAGTGAAGCAATGTTTTACATGTATTTCAGCAGGTCTTGAAATTTAACTAAAAATATGACACCTTTTTCTTCAGACAACTGCTCTTTTCAGTACCAGTTAGGTCAAACAAATCAGCCTCTAGATGCTACTTGTCTGTTGTTTTTTATCATACTTGGCAAAATATTTTTAAATATCCTCACACTAGGCATGAGAAGGAAAAAAACCTATCAAAATTTTATGGAATGTTTTTGTGTTTCATTAGCATTTGTTGATTTTTTATTTCTGGTAAACATTTCCATTATATCTTATTTCAGGGATTTTGTATTTTTAGGTGTTAGGTTTACTAAATACCATATCTGCCTGTTTGCTCAAATTATTTCCTTTACTTACGGCTTTTTGCATTATCCAGTTGTCTTAGTATCTTGTATGGATTATTGCCTGAATTTCTCTAAACTCACCAAGCTTTCTTCTAAATGTCAGAAGTCATTTTATTTCTTTGCAGTAATTTTAATTTGGATTTCAGTCCTTACCTATGTTTTGGGAGATCCAGCTATCTACCAAAGCCTGAAGGCGCAGAATATTTATTCTTACCAATGTCCTGTCTATGTCAGCATTCAGAGTTTCTTCCTGTCCCTTTCCATGATGCTAGTTTTATTTATGGCTTTTATAACCTCTTGGTCAGAAGTTATTACCATGGTACAAACTATTCAAATAACTTCCTATATGAATGAAACTGTCCTATATTTTCCTTCTTCCTCCCTCCCTAGTTATATTGTAAACTCTAAAAAAATACTCTTGCCCAAGCTCATTGTCTGTTTTCTTGGTACCTGGTTCCCATTTGTACTGCTTCAGGGATTCATTCTTTTACTTAAAGTACGGATTCCTGCATATATTGAGATGAACATTCCCTGGCTGTACTTTGTCAATAGCTTTCTCATTGCCACGGTTTGTTGGTTTAATTGTCACAAGCTTTATTTAAGAGATACCTCACTACCCATAGACCCATTTGTCAACTGGAAATGCTGCTTCATTCCACTCACAATACATAATCTTGAACAGATTGAAAAGCCTATCTCAATAATAATTTGTTAACATGTTGCCATCTTGAAACCAATTACAACAAAAATCACAACCTTACAAACAGGCAAGAATGGTGACTCAGGACACACCAGAAACTCTTCCCCCTCCCCTAACCTTTTATGTTTTCCAGTGTACTTTTGGGAATTAAATACTTTTAGAAAACAAAGTAAGGCCAAGAAGTTTTTATGCCTGTTCAGGAACACTGTATAAACATTAATTTGTTACTAATACAAAAGTGAAATGAGTTAAGATTTGATCATACTGATGTTTTTGTTGCCTAAAACCCAAAGTGTTATATAAATCTGAGATTTCACCAACAACTTTAAAATATGAATTTAAATATTTTATTGTATTTAGAAAAAAATAAAAATCACTTTCTTAAAATAGTGTAGTACAATCTTTAAGAGGAAAATTGGCTCATTTTAAATTGAGCTGATTTTTAAAATGTATTTCTGGTCTTAATGAAAATATTTGTAGAAGCCGAGAGTTTCATTCAGTCACCCTGTGGACGTGGGAGTAGCAAGTAGGCATCTTCCCATGACATACTGGATTCCTTTTCAGCTGATGTGTCATACATGCGTATCATATCATCACACTGCAGGAGGCTTTCTCAGGTGGGAGGCTGCTGTACGCACTGTAGGATGCTCAGCAGCATCTGGCATCCCTGCCCGCTGTCTGCCAGGTGCCAGTGGCACCTCCCTCCCCAGCAGCAGCAGACGTCTCCACTCACCGTCAGACCTCCTCAGTCGGGGAGCTACCTGCGCGAGCGAACCCTTGGAGTGAGACAAGGAGTGGCAGAACAGCCTGGTCACAATCTGGTCATAATTGGAGCATGTGTATAAACTTGACCAATTCACTCCAGTGGTTAGCTTCTCCAATAATCTGGTCTTAATTTATGAATTAAGTTGTGTAGGTATTCTAATCACCATTTACAGATACTAAAATGTGTAACCCTAAAACAAGCACTTTCAGAACTAGTGTTTCGGTTTTGTGATCCTGGAGGTTGAACCCAGGCCTTCACACTTGAGCTACATCCACAGCCCTTTTTAATTTTTGAGACAAGGTCTTACTGAACTTTGGCTGTACTTGAACTTGTGATCCTCCTGCCTTAGCCTCCCAGGTAGCTGGACTGCAGGTGTGTGCCACCATGCCCATCTCTGGTGGCTTTTGTTTATAGTAAGATACGGGTTTTTGCCTGGTTTGATAGTATACACCCATAACCCCAGCACTTGAGAGGCTGAGGCAAGAGGGTCACAGTTTGAAGCCAGCCTGTACAACACAATGAGACTGTCTCAGAAACAAGATGCTTTTGTAATGCCCAATTATGTACCTAAGTATGTTATGTCATAGTACTTGTCCTCACATGTATACAAGTATTCATAACATCATTTTTGGACCCACAAAACTTGAGTTCATGATCCACAAATAACTTTCCATTATTTTATTATAAGTAATGGAGCCCAAATAATAGCAAAGACATAGGCCAGGCACTGTTATTTGTGCTAAACACTTTATTTTACACCCACCAATTGATTTAATCCTCATAACTTTCATAATAGTATTACTATCTTCCTCTTACCTCCTACAAAAAATTACCCAGCTTCAAATCTCAATAGCTTCACAGCTAACAAACCCTACTTCTACAGTGTGATAAACTACTAGTATGCAAGTATGTAACATATAACTGAAAATGAATCCAGTATGTCATGGGAAGATTCCTAAATAAGGAAATTAAAACTTCAAAATTAAACTCACTGTGTGGTACACAGCTAGGGATTGCCGTTGAAAAGGGGAGATTCAAACTTGGAAGGCTGGCCTCTGAGTGTGTGCTTTTTACCATTGTGATACAGTGCTCTTTATTGTTAGTTCCATCCATGGTAAAGTTTATACACATACTCCAAAATCTGGAAACCTGAGATCTGAAAATTTATGGTATAAGCATTTCAGATAAGGGGTATTCTGCCTGAAATACAAACCCAACCTGAGCTCTTCTCAGGTTGAAATGACATTGGACAGCTGGACATTGGAAGTGCTGTGGTAAAAATGATGTCAGGTTTTCTTTGACAACAGGATGGCCCTTCTGGCTGCCAAGAGCCCAGTTCTTTCATTATTCCAATTCAAAGCACCTCTTTAGGTACAAAACCCCAGGTCTGACTTGAATCATGTGGCCACTCCTGTCACCAAGATCTGATAAACAGAAGGCAGTCCAAGGAAGAGAACTATTCACTGCACTGCATAGTACCATATTTAAAAATGAAACAAAAACATCATACTGTTCTATAAAAAAATAGCCAACTGTGTCCAAAGTTCAGTAGAAATAAACCTCTAGTCAAATTAACAAGTTAACAAATTAACATTCCTCTGAATGCCTTATCTTCCAACTGGCAGACTGTGGAAATGAAATATTTTTAAACATACTGAGCTTGATTAATAGCAACTTACACACTTTGTGGATTTTAACCCAGGAAAACTTGTAACTATTTCAAATCCCTCATTAAGCTTTTTGTTTCTATTTCCCCACATCTCATAAACTTAAAGGAAAAAAATTCAATAGACCAGCCAAATGGAAGAGGCTTTATTTGTAAATGAACTTACAACTGGTCTACAATATATTATTGTAATATAAACAATATAAATAAATGATTCTGTAGGCCCACTAGTTTTCCATCCAGACCCACACAAAGCAATGTCACAACAATATTCTATGTGAAAATGTGCAGGTAACAAAGGTGCAATTACAAGCAAATTTAAGCAGCAGAGCGTAAGGTGCTTTCATCTGATAGTTAACGTCATCAACAACATTGAATTTCAGTTTTACTTCACTGAATAGACACAACAAATAGGAAAATCTAAAATTCATAACCATGCTATTTGTTAACATGAAAGTGCTTTTTTAAAAAAAAAAAAAATACACCAAATGAAGACTTTTTACATAAATCTTAGTGTGCTCTTATAACACAAAATTAACTTCATTTTCAGGCTATACATTTTTAAACTGTAGCTATAGAGAACAGTCTAGGAATTCTAATGCAAAGAGTGCAAAAACTATTTCATTTCCTGTGAGGAGGATTCTAATACAGTATTCATGTAAAGAATACATTTCTATATAATCCTAGCATTTTGTTTTTTGTAAAGGTAACGTTCTTTCCCTTGGTGATGATTGGTTTATGCTGAGTGGATCATCGTTGAGGCTTAATTACATGAAAGTCCTCTCTATTTTAGAACAATGGGAGGAACCAAAAGGAATTTTAAAAAGCAGATGTGCTTGAAATGTCAAAAATTTGATAGAGCTCACTGCAACAACTTGCCTTTGCTAACAAAAGTTTTTAAAGCAAAAAGACAAATTCTAATTTACTTAAGGCTGAAATACAAGGCATGATTGAAATACATGGTGAATACTTAAATTTTTAAAAATTTATTACAATGAAAGACACTGCCATCAATCCCCCTCCCTTCAGACCCACTTATCCCAGCATTTCTGCTACTTTCTGCAGCACTTCAGGGTGTGCTCTTTTGTGTTTTCCGAGGTATCAAAGTCAGGTGAGCGCGGCCACTGGGTGCTACCCGACAGAGAGCCAGGCTGGTGAAAAGAGTATGGTGTGTCCACATTCACCTTACTTACCGGATCTGGCACCGTGTGACTTCCAGCTCGTTCCCAAAGTCAAAATGAACATGAGAAGGGAACATTTAAGTGAGTCCGCGGCAGCCACACAGTGCAACTAAAAACACTCACGACAAGGGACTTCCGGAACTGCTTCGGAAAGTGGCAAGAAGGACGGGCTAAGTGTGTCTGGAGTGAGGAAGGGCAGTGTGAGGGGAATTAATGGCCAAGTATCTTTAACGTGACAAACTAGTGTCACCGTAATTTCTGATGACACCTCACAGCTTTTCACTCCTGTCAGTATTTGTGCCTGTACACTGCTGTCCACTACATCCCACCTGTAATATAAGCATAATCCTCTGCTGGGGGATAGTTTTTGGAACTCACTTTTTCCCCTTGCAAAAAACAAAAACACAAGTCATTTAAATGAGGTGACTGAAATTTCAGTCAAAAACAACTTGGAAATTATATATCCCAAATTACCACCTTTTTAAAAGTTTTAAAATTTAAAAATACATATACCAAAAAAGTAACATTAACAGCATAAAGTATTCAAAAAATAAGTACACTTTAAAAATTAAAACACATTAAAGGTAATTTTTCATCAGTATGATGGAACAATTTATAAAATGCAGCAATTTGGATCTGGCAATTTGGATGTTAATGTCTTCCAACACTTAGATGTTTTCTTGCTTCAAACCGCAACTAAATGTAAAAGTTTTAAAATATATTTTCATGAAGAATGTTAGTATCAACTGATGGATATTTAAAGCTAGAATTACGTGATTTCAAATCCTAAAATGATAAAGGAATTTTACTCAATTAAAAATTGATCCTTTCAATGTTTACTCCCCAAATACTTGTCAAGTCAAGCAAATGGTTTTAACAGTTCTGCATTTTAATGGGCACCCTTGTTTTATGCAATGTATATACTTTCTGATTCTTACATAACTTTAAAAGGTGACTCTTTTATAGTACAATAAAATTTGTGTTTAATCACAAAAGCCTATTTTGGTGACTTCCTTTGAGATTTTTCAGCTTTCAAAAACTGCTACATTGCCAATAATGGGTATAAAGGTTTAGCAGTTAAAAATGTACAATAAATCAGCATTGATTTCTATCCTGTCACCCACCCTGTCCATCAGCAACTCTGAAACATACAGGGTCAAAATAACCCTATGGAATACTGGAGTTTCAAAATGTAAGTTGTTAATGTTAAGTGCTCTTAATTTTGTAATCTATCAGGTATATGGCCAATTGATGTTAGTATATGAAATGTGTTGTAGCAATTACGGTGTGACTGTCATCTGATCTAGTTTTTTACCGAATGCAGAAAACATTCCCTCTCAATTCCAGATGTAGTCCATTCATAAGTATTAATCATTATGCTGGATGTTGATGGTGCACACCTATAATCCCAGCACTCAGGAGGCTGAGGGAGGAGGATTGCTGCATGTTCGAGGCCAGCCTGGGCTACAAAGTGAGTTCAAGGCCAGCCTGAACTGCATAGTGAAAGCTTGTCTCAAAAAGACCCAAAAAAGTGTTTTATTTGAGCCATGATGATTTTTTGGGGGGAAGATTTTACTTGTTAGTTTCTTAGTTGTATATACCACACATGATATGAACATTCAGTGGTTTGCTAAATGGCTGTCTTTAACTGTATGAATGACAATACTAACGTGTTCCATGGTTAAGTATTTAGGAAAAGGTCCTCGTTTGCTTATCTATAATTGTGTACCTCAATCCTTAAGAGAATAAATACTGTAAAGTGACCTGGGAAATGGTCTTAAAGTATAAAATGAACCATTAAACAGCCAAATAGAACAGAGCAACTTTTAAAATACTCTATTATGTGGCCTAGCAAACTGTAGGGCTGGGAGAGACCTTAACCAGGCTTTATAAGCCACAATGTGCAGGTCCAATACCGCACATTTAGAAGATTACTGTACATAACTGCCCGAAGTGTCACACACTACTAGTTAACCAACTTGAGGTGAAAACTCAGTCTCCAGTTTAGTGTGCTTTATCTTCACTCATCACGGTCGTTCAATGAGACTACCTGGTACTCACTACTGACAGATTACTTACTCATTTTTAAAATACCCAAACGAAGAAAAGGAGTATTTTTAAGACAAGCACTGTAAAGATTTTAAGCACTGGACATTTTGTTTTACTTGGTCCAAGATGAAACATTTCCTTCTTACTAAACTATGTTAAAGGCTAGGTATGGTGACACACACCTATAATCCCAGTATTTAGGCTTAGGCAGGAGGATTGCCACAAATTCAAGGCTAGTCTAGACTATGTACTGAGTTCAAAGCCAGCCTGAACTACAGAAGTGACACTCTGTCTCCAAAACACAACAAAATACAATAGTAAGACAGGTTGATGTTTCTTTCAATGATGGCTACAATGTCCATCACCCTCTCAAAACACTGAATTTTTCACTTGTTAATGCTTCACAAACATGAATAGAGAGTAATTCATGAAGTACAACCTTTAAGCAGTAAATGATGGCTGCTCCTTAAAATGATGGCTAGATTTTAATTTGGGTGGCTTCAAAGGATTTACTACATTCTTAATTGACACTATATACCATGCTAGCATTACAAATGTTTAAATTTTTTTTTTCTGGTACTGGGAATCAAACTCAGGACCTTATGCTTGCCAGGTACTTATGCCACCAAGCTATATTCTTGGCAACAAGTGTTTTAAATTATACTACTTTTTTCCAAATTAATATTTCTAGACTTCTTTTAAACATTTTTTTCTTCCTAAATAAATTCAAACTGAACACTACTCATACTACTCAGAGCAACAGTACTTTTGGACAGGCAAAAGTTTTTTCTAACAAAGCTTTAGCCAAACATTCACTTTGCACCTCTTTTCTGATTAAAATCATCAGCTTTAATACGATTAATGTTTGCGGGCTATGAAAAGGAGGGAAAGTTTGTGGCAAACACTTCCCCAAAGGTTCCATGCAAGACCAGGGCTGTACAGGCAGCAGGGGGAGCCCTTGTCCAGAGAGGCTGCCCTGCAAACGCAAAGGGGGCACGGACTTGCCAGACTGCCCTCTGGAACAGGACGCTAATAATTACATCAGTGCCTTAAAAGGCTCCTTCGTCATGGCAGAATTCTAAATTAAATAGGTGCTACAAAATGCAAACTTTGGAAATCTTTGCTAATGAAAGTAAACATTCTTTTGAAAAAATGGCTTGTATCACTGGTATGAAGGAACCACTATATGGTGATACATTTTATACATTTCTAAAAAAAGAAGGTATCTCCCCAATTTTTAAAAGATGTACAACTTAGTTTTCTTTTTAGTAATATGGTATGTTAATTCTCCCCAACACTGTCTTTGTGCTTACCTACACTGAATCAGTCTCCTGAGATGAAACTGAATATTCTAGAATACCAGCATTGGTGAACATGGGTTACACCATTCATGTTATGATCCATACTACTTTCACCCAAGAGAGGTATGCTTGTGTTTACGGAAACTGGGATAGCAGAGACTCCCTAAACGTTTAGTCACCCAATCCTTAGACTAAGACACAATCTAACAAAATACTATTTTAAAATGACTTTATTATATTCTATATAGTAGGTCCAAATGTGGTACCTGAAAGTGGCCTTTAAGTTTTTGACAAATATCCTCCAATTATAATAGCTGTCATATTCTAAAATTAAAGTATCACTAATTTATGTGTTACTGGTACTACTAATATCTGTGCTTCTAAGGTCAGGGTCAGTGTTCAGGGAGTAAAAGAATACATTTTATCCAGGTAAATCTTGACAAATTATAGGGGCTAGGTGTATAGTTCAGGAATTGAGTGCAAGGTCATGGATTCAATTCCCAGCACCACCAAACACAGATCCTAAACTTGTATATTACCATAACGGGAACCAAACAACTGTAATTATGTTGCACTGCTGATAAAGGTCATATATATACTAATGATTTTACTTAATTAACTGTGCTCTCCTCTTGGGTCTGGAATACTTTTTGTCTTCTCTAATTCCCACTTTTCCTCCCAGAAACCCTTCCAAAAGTTAGTTAGTTATATACATGGTACACAAGAAACAGGCTGAGCAAACATGTGCAAAGCAGGGCCAGTTTCTACTGCTCAAAGATGTCACTGAAACGTGGCTGCAAATACAGTATTAGAAAAGCTGCTGAGGCTGCCTCCCTCTGTAAAATTAGTCTCGTTACAAAATCTCCAGAAATTTCAAAGATTTCTCAAAGAAGAGAAGTTTTAATGTACTTTTGGAAGCAAAAAGCAACTTTAGAGGAGCAAATGAGGTAAAGCCTTTAATGGCATTAGCTAACTCACAGTGCCAATAGATTTCATCTACTGGACAGAGCTCTAAGGTCGGCTTTGTTAACATACATCTGTAATCATTTACTCTTTCCAAAACTGTTTATACACATGAAAACACAGCCTAATATTGTAGGACTATTGCTTCCCTACATACTTATGCCATGGGGGTACCAAAACTCTGCAAACGTATACACTGAACTTTAAAATATATAACTGAAGAAACAATGAGGGGGCACCATGACAATGTCAATCCAAGATTTGTATTTCTGAACAGATGTCTGATTTTAATTTTACACTTAATACGTGGAAAAAAAACTATGTGAAAAGTTATGCAAAGCATAGTCACAATAATACTTGTTTCATACGGTTCTATGTATTTCAACATAGTAGGAAACAAAAATACACAATGGGATAACCTAAAAAAATTTCTATTTTAAGCTATGTAAAATGTGAATATCAAAATTAAAAGTGCAGAAAGTTTTTCAGTGTTGAAGTGAGCTAAATTAACAAAAGTCTGTCTCATTTCCATTCTCAATCACTAATACTTCTCTCCTCATGTCCTGCCTTCTCTGCTCCTAGATGACACCCCTTCAACAAAGACCTAAAAGAAATTCTGTTTAGAGGATTCCAAACAAAAAGAGTTATATGCCACTAGAAACATGACAGGTTTTGGACAGTAGTCTGTCTCATGCTATACTGATTATATCAAAGCTGTGTCTAACACATGTCTATGCAAGGATTGATATACAGTAATGTCATACAAAAATAATTTTACAAACAAGCTCTCAGTTTGTTTAGTTTTCTAGGAATATAAAGCTTAAAGCAAATAAAAATTATCATCTTCTCCTCAACAGGAAAAGAGTGCAACAGTTTATAGAAAATGCAAACACAGGTAGCAAAATTACAAATACCTCCCATCTGCTTGTTACTATCCGCTTGTTATTCTTTTTTCCCAGTCCTAAAACATTTAATAATGCAAAAGGAAATGAAATAGTAGCACTCTTCCTACCTACATCATACTGAAATGGCTCAAAGCTCAGAAGATGGACAGCCAGTGTTACATATATATATATATATCCATTATCTGTAAATGAAGCTTTGAAATTAAGGTGATTACATCATCTAGACACATACAGATGCATCACTGGTAGAACTACCAGAGGACAGTAAATGAGCCACTTCTACAGAAAACAATTAACTTTAAAAGTGTGTTTTCTGAGTATGTTATGAATGAGGACAATAGAAGATCAGACTAGTTTTAAGATTTAGAACTACAAGGAATCCAATTGAAATCCCTCTGCTGAGTTTCTTCTCAATATTTAACACAGTGCTTGGCACAGGTGCTTACATACAGAAAAACTGCTATTAGTACAGGAAGTAAAAAAAGGAAAACTTCCAAGATGATTCAGAGTTAACACCTTAAAGGCTACAGATAAAATAGTAAAGAGAGAATCATTATTGCTAGGGGAGTCTATCCCTGAATATTCAGTGTTACCAACAATAAAGTTTTAATTCCAGGGAAGATTTTCCTCTGTGCCTCCTCCTTCACATCCAGTGGGCAATCTTACTACTGCTTACCCTATGTGTTCTGAAATTGTAATTTTAACCTCATGTTTACTAATAAATGAAAACTGGTTATAGAGTACTACCTTTCCTTAAGACTTTAATCCAGTAATTAAAAATGTAATACAAAGAAATATATAACATAGACTACAAGCTATTGTGGGTCTGGAACATGAGCCTTATATTACATATTCTAATCCTACACATGACTATCAATAAACAGCATTTTTAAAAACATTACTACACAAAGAATCCCACAAAGCATACATTCAAACAAGAGGCATCTAAAGATTAAAAAAATTACCCGCTGTATTTTGTATAAAAATAATCAACATTTTCTAATGTACACAAAGCCAAAAGATAAACATCTGTGATGTCTTTAGTGACATCTTTGATTTTCTACTAGCTCAACAAAATCTTTTGGAAAAGAGCAGTGAAAATGACAGAAACTCACAGACTCCTTTAGGCCTTCCTTTACTGAGTTTCTGTGGCCAAATATCAGTGTGTGTTCCTTCAATTATTAAAATATCTCAATCATGTGATAAAGATACAAGAAATGATTAGAACAAAGCCTTTGTAATCTCAAAAACTTGATATTCAGGACTATAAAGCTCTTAGTACTCTCACATTTTTAGTGTCACAATTCTATAAAAAATTGTTCGTAAAGTAAAAAAATTTTTAAATTAGATAATGAACGAGAAATCACTCAGCAAGTGCTTTGCAGGAAGCATGCAAAGAGTCAGTAAAGAAAAAAGGACTATGCATTCTAGCTAGATTCGGCATATTCAATATTAGAAAACAAAATCCAAAGAGCAATCACACATCCACTGCAAACTTCTGTTACCAGAAAAGATACAATGGATTATCAGTATAATGTATTATGCTTCAGTGCAAAGGAGCACAGAAATATGAAAGATAGTATGATTCAGTACTGAGGGTCAAATTACTTCAAAGCTAGTCTTTATTTTTAGGCCAATTTTATGTTTTCTCCCCTTTGTCTATATGTAATACATTTGGAAAAATACTTCAGAACATTAATACTCTGAATAATACTCCCATTATTTATGTATTTCTTATGCCCATCTTTCACATCTCCCTTTGGGTGAAAAAAAGTAACATATACCATCCCTTCCTCATCCGTTTCTCAGCCTTGGCACTGCTGGCATTTGGATCGGACAGTTCCTTGCAATGGAGGGCTGTCCTGTACACTGTGGGATACGTGAGAATGTCTCTGGCTTCCTCCTCCTGGACAGGAGGAGCAGCATCAAGCTGTGACAACCAAAGTATTTCCGGATATTTCCAAATGTCCTCTGGTGAACAAAACTGTCCTCCATTAAGAAATACTGCTCTAAAGTAGAAAAACTGAGAGGAAAAGTAATTTTGTGACTCAAGCCAAATTCTTAAGTCTGAAACAGACTCTTGATCTCCAGATCAGTATTATTCATGGTACCATACAATATTTTTGTAGAGACAAAGTATTTACCCAAAAGATAGGATTTTTAAATTTAAACTGATAATTCATTATAGATGATTCTGTGACTGGACTCCTAAATTATTTAATATCTCTATGACAATTTGTAGAAAATTAATAGGGTACAAAAATGTACAAGAAAACAATCAAAAGAAATGTGAATCATTAAATTACATTCAAAAGGATCCTTTATATTAATGATAAAAATCACTTTAAAAAAATTATCTAGTATAACATGTTTCTTTGAAAAAATACCATGGCCCTCTATATCAAGTCTTTCAATGTTGCATGTGAACTGTAAAATTAATTTCACCAATGTTGGCTAATTATGAAAATGTACAATGATTTTTTCTGTAGAAGAAATGTCAGCATTTGATGTGGAGATCTCAATGTGCTTGGCCATCCACTATAGTAAGTGTAATATTTTAGGCCAGATTAGGCCTTTACCTTATGAGTCTGCTTAAGAAGAGTAAAACTGGTGTTGTTTAAAAGGCCCATGTTCCTGTTAAGACTCTTTCAGAGAGTTGATCCGTGCACAGATCTTTAGGGCTGGGCCTAACTTGATATTCATTGCACTCATGAGATGGTCTTCTTTTAGTAAGAGAAGGGCCTGTCCATCAATCTCTTGTGCTCTGAACTCATCTGCAATATCCTGGCAGCCTTGAATTTAATCAGAAGAAGGAAATTAGAATTAGACAAACAGACATTACTTCTAACAGTCTATTTATGTTCTCATTGGATCTGAGAATGTGAAATATAAGCTGAAAAACAAGTGAAATTTACTTATAGTATTCTAGGGTTCATTTGAACTATTTGTTAGCATTCTGAAAATAAGAATTTGAAATCAAGGTCCAACAATCTACTTAGAAGTCTAGCTCTAAAAATAGTATTGTAGAAATAGAGGTAAAAATGTACAGCAATCCATCTATACATAACATTTACTTTACAAAAAGGACTATGGTGTCACCTCAAAGCATGCCACACATGCAGATTTGGGTTAACCAGTTATACTTACTAAACGTATCTTTGACATGTTCTTTGCATATAGGCACAGAGAAATACAATATAATGCTCTGCCACATAAATAACAATCTGGAAATATTTTCTCAAGTATTAGAGTACTATTTTCATTATCATTTATATTTTAATTTATGACCTTTATTGCTAGCTACAGCTAAAACATTTTTTATACTGACTACAGTATTCAAAGCCAGTCTGAACTACATAGAACTTGCCTCAAAAAACTGCAGTATCATTGCAGTGTTGCTAAATGTATTATACTGCTCAATTTGTAATTTTCAATGCAAATCTATCACTGATCTTATCTCCATTTTTCAAGAAAACAGATTTTCACTGAAATTATGAGCTTGCAGGCTAATCTCCAGCCAAATAATATCTTAGCTTTCTGTCTAAACTGAATGCTTCAGGATGTTTTTACTGTCTACTACAATTTTTGCATATAGCTAGTTTATTCTGTAACTTTTCCACTAGAAGTAAAAAAAAGAAAAAAAAAAAACGGATTAAGTGACTTGAGCTGACACAGGACAGCATGCAAAAACATGGAAGCTTCCTTCTAAGAAACAAGAACATTTTTAAAGTGAATATAAGACTAAAACCTAAGTTGTTACATGTTTTATTAACTATACACTGTGGGATAGTATTCAGTATTCTAAGGAAAAATATGAATCATGATACATCTTTGAATATCACAACTGTACTAGAATGATTTTCCCCTTCCACTGCTAATCTTCCTGATTATAAAAAATAGTAGTATCTCTCTTATAACCCTAGGACCAAACACAAAACACTATGTATTCTCATTGATACATAAGAGAAGACTACATATGTGAATAAATGATGAACAAAAATTAATCTACAGAAGCGCTGTTTATAAGACATACGATTTTTCCTGTGTTCAGCCATCTATTCCTGAGTAGCCATCTATTCTCTTGGTTATTTTTTTTCCAGTGTCCTCTCTTAGTTTTATCTTTACTGTTTCCTCTTTTAATAATTTCTCAGACTTTAAAATTTGACATTTCCTTATAAAACTTGTGGTTTTGTCTATTTACCATATAAAAGAAACTATACAGATGAAATGGTACTACTCACCATAGAAAAGTCCCTTTTCTTTTTCCAGAGGTAGCTCTCAATAAAACTGGGCAGACAAAACTGACTAATCTTGCATCTAACTGTGACTTATCCTTCTTTTTATGGAAGAACTAATGTTCTCTTCAGTCTTACTTGTAAGAGCAGGAAAGGAAAGAAGACAGGACATGACTTACTAAGATTCAGCAAACAGGAGCAATGAGAAGTAATGAGGGCTGCAAGAGCTACATTTGAGAGTAGAAAAAAGGAGTTCTCCAAGAGGAAAACATAATTGTGCTCTTTTTCCTTTATTGTGAGATTCTTCTTGAGATGTCTTCTTATATGGGACACTAAATGTATTCACAAGACAATGAACAAAAAATGTTTTGGGAAAGAGCATGATTAAGTAGGAATGCAGTATCTTCAGAATTTTAGATTACATCTTTCCTAAGCTAACTACAAAAAGATACAATAGTATGGAAATGATAAAATGACTCTTTGGAGGAGGGTCAAAAGCAAGAATGTTTTCAGTGGAGAAAAATTTTTAAATGTACACGCTCAAGGCACATGAAGCTAAGTTCTTTGAGTTTCTGACATCAACATCTACATCTGTAAAATACAGCCCCAGCAAGATGTACAAAATATACACCACTGAAGAAGTCAGCTTGGCTGGCTTTCACTTCACCAGTACCAACCGCAGTATAGGTGTAGACAGATCTTTGTGCACAGGTGTCAGTTCAACTTTGCAAGTATCCAGTTACCTCTCAAGCTAAATTCAAAACAAACATACCCTGCACAAAAACTAACTCACTAAAGCAATAAAAGGATCACTTGCAGGCTGGGGATTTAGCTCAGCGGTGTAAGCGCCCGCCTTTCAAGTGTGAAGTTGTGAGTTCAATTCCCCGTACCAAAAAATAAAAAAATTAAAAAGGATCACTCGCCACTCAGTACTATAGAATACACAAGCCCCTAAACTAGTATTACAAAAACCAGCAAATATTTGTACATTTAAAAAATGATCTGTACTTTATATGCCTATAGAGAAATCAAATCCGTGGATTCAGAGATCAATAAATATAGAAAAACTTTTACAAAAGGCAGTTCACCATATCAAGGAAGAGTTAAAGAAGATAAGCCTCAATTAATTGGAAAGAACTGTAATGTGTTCTTTTTGTGTGTGCGTGTGTGTGTGTACTAATGATTGAACCCAGGGACATGCTACTACTGAGCTATATCAGTGGTATATAGCAATTGGCCAGCCTGCCTATCTGCCTATACTAATAGTAAAGACTGAAGCCAGGGCCTGCCCACCTAGCTATTTTTTGAGACACTGACTTGCTAACCTGCTCAAGCCAGTTTCATGCAATTCTCTTGCCTCAACCTCCTGCATACAGAAGGACAGGCATGCATTGCCATGCCTGGCTAGAGAAACTTTTTAATGCACCAGAAGTTATAAGAGTAATTTTTCATTTTCTTCTAAGAGGTCTGAGATGTGAGTGCACCACGTATAAGCTCTAAGAGAGTCCCAACAGACTGACTGATGGGATTATATACAAAGAGAAGAGAAAACCTTAGATGCTCTAATAAGAAAGGAAGTCTATCCTAATTGGAAAAAATATATAAAAGAGATTAAAAATTTTTTAAGTTTGTTCACATGAATAAAGCTTGAGAAAAAGACAACGTAAGGAAAATAAACTGCACTGAATGAATTGAAAGTCAGAAGGACATTTACAAATGTCAGGGGGCCAGGAAAAAATGAAGATTAAGGCATTTTGGGGATAAGATTTACTTTAAGCTACAGGTACTATTCAGAGAAAACTTTGAGAAAGGCAGGTAACTGATCACAAAAATAAGCTTATTATTTAGCTTGTCAAAGAAATTTGAAAATAAATACTATTTCAATGGCAAAGAAAAAATTTAAGCAGACTCTAAATCAGTGTCAATGGCAAAGAAAAAATTTAAGCAGACTCTAAATCAGTGTCAAGGGCCAAGGTTATGGCTCAGTGGCTCCTTGGCAAGTATAAGGTCCTGGGTTCAGATCCCAATGCCAAAATCAATCAATCAATCAGTACCAAGCAATTCTGAATTATAAAGCAGTCTTTTAATGCTATATAATGTTCTCTAAATCACTGACCACAAAATCATCTGTAAGTGGTATACAAGCTACAGCAGGCTATTTGTATCACTGAAAGCTCTGAAAGGTTCACCATTATTGCTAAAATTAAGAACTTTGTCTTTTAAATGGATGAAAACATCAAAATGAGAGCAGAACAGGAAAACATAAATAAGGTTACTCTTAGTATCAGAATGACCATAACTGAATTTTAGCTGTCTACTTGAAAAATAGAATTTCATAAGTGCTCTTGATATATACTGAAAAGAACTAGAAGACTGTAGTTTCTCTTAAAGGCATCCACTTGAGTATTTTTTTAAAAAACCAGAATTTAACCATATTGTATATGGTGCTGATTAGCTTTCAAAAATGTAAAAGCAAAACGAACAAACATATATAGAACCTCTCTTACTTCATTTTTTTTTAAAGGGTAAGGAACAAAGAAGAAATAAAAAAATAGAAGAGCAGAAGAGAAGAAGTATCTGATTCAATCTCTCTACTAACCTCTCAAGAAAAACAGACTGAAGAGAAGTGTGACACCCAGCTGGGATGTCACAGCAGAAGCAGATTAGTCAGTTTTTATCGACTTGGGGGTTATGAGAAAACACCCAGTTGTGCTGACAGAATCGTACGCAAGAGAAAACAGATAACATTTCAACAGCAAATGCCATTTAACTTAGACATATACACAGAACTTCTCTAGCTTATTTGTACAAAAAGTATAGACAGAGTATGGGTGTATAATAATAGTATTAATGTCAAGGTGGTGAATTACATACCAGGCAAAGAATGGATGAAGGCCCAGACATCATCAACTGTCCATATAGATGGCTCTGTCTGGGAAACTGGCAGCAAATCACTGTTTTCAGGCATTTTTCTAATTCTTACATCACGAAGCTCGCGTTCTCTTTCCCGCTCACTCTGTCTGCGCAGGCGAGTTGTCATAGCAGATGGCACAGAATCTTCATGCGAAGCCAAGTCTTCTTCTGCAGATGGATAAGTAATTGGAAGCTGGAAGACGCAGTACAAGTAAAATACAGCTTTGTACTTTCCTTGCATTTCTGAAAAGGGCATTTTACATGGAAGAAGGTTTCTACACACCTGCCGAAGGATATGTTCTCTTGCTGCCCCTTCAGGGCCACTTGGACGACGGCCTCGATGCCCAAGACTCTGATTATCAGGCTTTCGATTCCAACGACTAAGTGCAAATTTTTTAGAACAGCTAACATTGTACCTACAAATTCAAATGAAAAAGCACATTAGAAGATATTAAAAATATTAAAAGATATTAATATTAATATTAAAAGATATTAAAAATACATAGTAGGGGCTGGGGATTTAGCTCAGTGACATAAGCACCTTCCTTGCAAGCAGGCAGTTGTGAGTTCAATCCCCGGTACCGATAAAAACAAAAAAGACAAAAAAAAAAACCATAGTAGTTAATTACAACTTTGCAATTATAAATTGGTAAGATTCTGCTAACTTGGGGCTTAGCTATCTCTAACATGACATCTGCCCAACTTGATACTGGGCCCAGAAAAACAACTTATCTAAGAGTAACTTCTATGTTCTCCTTCTAGTTCCAAAATAAACCAGCCCTTTTTGCATGTGCGCAAAGCCCTCTTCAAGCTCAAGATTCCACAACTACCCAAGCATACCACCCCCAGCCCCCAGTGAATCTGTTTCCTTTTTCGTGCGTATAGATGCTCCTTCCAATTGGCTGTTGATATGTCATTTTGCCCACCTCCCAAACTTCTCCCCCAGCCAGAACTAATAAAAATACTTCCACTTCTTTGTTCTCACCTGAAGGTGCATGTGTCCTTCCCTTGCCTACAATAAAGGCCTCTTTTTCCTTTCTTTGTCTATCATGCCAAAATCTTACCATAAATCAATAGGTGTTATATACTTGATTTAAGCTGAAACACCTCATTAAGTAAATTTATATTGTTCAATGGATTGATGTATGCTACAGGTAAAAAATAGCCTCTGTATACATGGTAATGTATACTGCAATATAATACTGGACACCTATAATAAAGTATTGATGTTTTCTCTTGATTACAGCACAACAGTGAAAGACTTTCTGCAAAATACAGAGAATAAATAATTTTCAGAGCAACAAAAAAATTCAAGGTTCCAGTAGAAAATTTTGGCAATAAATATTTAGAATGTCTGTTCAAACTGATTTTCCCAAGTAATATTTTCTGCAGAAAGATTTTTTTAAAAAAGGAAACTGATACAGCAGAGAGAAGATCTCATGCACCTAGCAAAAAGACTTCTCAAGCATTACTAATTAAAGAGTGAGCCGAGCATAATAGCAGCATCTGTAATCCCAGCTACTTAGGAAGATGAACCAAGTGGATCACGCAGCCTGGACAATTTAGCAAGACCTTGTCTCAAAATAAAAGCAGAAAGGGCTGGGAATATAGCTCAGGGGTAGAGCTCTTGCCTAACATGTATAAGGCCATGGGTTAAATCCCAATCCCACACCCCCCTGAAAAAAATAAAAGAGTGAAAACATAAAAGTTACACAAGAAATTCACTGCTTTCACTAGTCAGGAAATTCAGAAGTATGTAATTCTTTAAGATTGATTTAAAAACTTTTATCCAAAGAGACTATCTAGTACTGTATTTTTTAACACAGATTTTTTACAAGACATGACAGTAGTTTAAAAGAATCCAATGCTGTTTAGTAGGTTCCAAAGCCCTGGTACAAGATTTAGCAAATTTTTCCTATTCAGGACCACATAGTAAGTACTTTAGGTTTTGTGGGGCACACAAGTCTGTTAACTCTGTCAACACGGTGTGAAAATGGCCATAGAAAATACTGAAAGACTGTGACTATGCTAGTGTTTTCGGATACTTAAATTTGCATGTCACATAACTTTCATGTGTTGTGAAATATTACTTTTTTATTTTTGTAATCATCTATAAAAATTTAAAACCATTCTTAACTCAAAGGCCATTTGAAATATAAGTAGCTGGGAGGAGTTGGCCTCAGTGAGTTTTCCTAGAAAGATGAGCAAGAGATGACTATCTAAAGAAACCTCTGAAAAGCTATAGAAAGAGAAATATATATAGCTTTTTTTGTTTGTTTGTTTTGGTTTTTTTTTTTTTTTTTTTTTTTTTTTGAGATAGGGTTTTGCTATGCGGTTCAGCCTAGCCTTGAACTCACTTTGTAGACCAGGCTGGCCCCAAACTTACAGCAATCCTCCTGTCTCAGCTTCCGAACTATTCAAAACTCTCATGCTCTAAGAAAAAAATCCTAATTAACTTTGCTTTTGATAGCCATTCAAGACCAATAGCCAGATACCAAAAGAAATTTTCCTCTCCCTTGTTTTATGAATATATAAAGAGGTGGAAATAAAGAATCCTATGAGAATGAGTAGCTATTTTCCCTAGTAAAAGTGTAACAATGTCTTGATGGTCATTTAATTTTACCCTAAAACAATTCAATAGGCCTCTGCTGTGTTTATTATGTGTTCACTTCTGGATTCAGCAATATAGATTTTTGATTTCTAATCAAAAAAATAAAAAAAATTCTAATCAAGAAGTAAAAAAATTTTTACTTTCTGAGGAAAAAAAGAGACTAGTTTCATAGTTGATATTTAGACCCTAAATACTTAGCTCCCCAAGATCCAGCACCTAAGCACAGACAAAGCTGCAGCTGTAGTTCTTCCCAGGCCTAACTTATCCTCTGTCCTTGCTCTCTCCCCTGCATTTCCCTGTCTTAGGGATGCTAACCATCTACAGAGGCTCATCTAAGGCATAATAATGTAACATCTCAGGAATCATCTCTGGAGAAGAGTAATAGTAGCATTAAATGTCCTGAAATATTTCTAAATAAACAAGAAGCTTAAAATATCTTGAAAGATAGTTTATTTTCTCCAGGGTTTTTAAAGAGTTTTTAGTCACTTGCTTTCAGAAAGAGGCACTATTTTTCTTAGATATATGCAAACTGAAAATTCTAGTTAAAACATGAGTGCAACACATTTTATTATAGTTCTATCAAAAACACGAAAGAATATTTGAATAATAGATTGACAACTGAAATAATGAACCTAATTTTCAAGAAAATTTATTTTTATTTAAATTTTACTCTATATTAGTTGGTGGTAGCCATACAAAATAAAATGTTCAAGCAAGAAATTCCCCAGATGTATATAATGAAGATCTTATAAATTCTTTGAGAGAATAATTTTGTTTCAAACAGAGAGCAAATTTCAAAATTATAAACCTGCACAGATACTTCAACTTTACTGGTAAATGTCTATAATACTGAGATTTATTGTGGTTTCTTTGTATTGGGGATTGAATTGAAGACCCTGCATGTGCCAGGCAAGCACTTTTGCCACTGAGCTAAAACTTCCACTGAGATTTATTGTTTGAATCACATGAGTTTTTAAGAATGTAAACTAAACTTAGGAATTATAAGCTTCATGAAGTCTTAACATTTCTTTTACTTTTTTGTCTACAGTAACAGTTACTGGAAATAGTAATCTAGAAAATACATTTTGCTCTCTGACGTTACCAATGTAAAGAACTTATATGATAGCAGTACCACTTAGAAATAAAAAATATTATTTATAACAAGTGAAAAAATTTTAAAATAAATTTAGATATTTCAATGCTGTTAAAAACACTCAGTTGATAAAACAAATATTTCAGTGCCTCAAGGACTGGAGCTAGTTTATATCTTGATCATTTCTCAGGATTCTTCTTAACATATTCTTAGCACAGCAGATTGCTACTTCAACATTGGGTTACGCTGTAAAACTTAGTCTAAGTGATATACAAACATAAGCATCACAGTAGCTCCAGATAATGCTTAACTATTCCCCTGTATAATAATATCTAAGTTTGACTACTGCTGAACTATATGAGGTTTTTCTGGTTTTCTTGCAAGGCTTGTTTGACCCTTTCAGAAATTCAAGAACACAGAAATACCTTTTGGCACATGACATAGTGCAGAATCGTTTTGACCGTAAAAATTCATTAGCATATCCCATTTTTCCACAGAATTCACACTTGAGCAACTCACTGTCCATTTCTTCCAATGTCTCTAAAAAAGGAAACAAAGAGGAAACATTCCAAAAATTTGTGGCAATTTTCTTTAAGCTTCTATTTTGTTTGGACACTGCTACCAGACCAGTGATTTTTTAAGTTTTAAATCCATAGCCACTCTGGCATAACAAAAGCCTTCAAACACAAACACCTCTACTAATTCCTCTTGCCTCTGCATAAAAATTATATGGAATTTTCCTACATAAATAAATGGAACATTTTTTCAAGATTCATTTTGCTAAGATTCTATCATCTCTAAAATGTGCAAACATCTTCACAAACACTGTGTAAGAAACAAAGATGAGTAATACATAATCACTACCCTCCAGAAGAAATACTTTCCAAGTTGCACAGTGTGGGTTATGAATTGTTTGAAGATAGGGGAAGCCTTCTTCACTCTAACTGTAGAGTCATTAAGTGACTTCAAAATGGCGGAATTTTTATAATGTCTGATTTTAGAGCATATAAAATAATTCAGTCCCTAAAATAAATATTTGTTTTTAGTGTACAGTAGTATATATAAAGATACATATCTAATAAACAGTTCCTTTTACAGTATATTAAATAAAAAATTGCATAGTCTTAAAATTCACAAATAGTTTTAGAATATTCAACTGTTGATGCTTTTTTCTGAATGCTCTCCTATTAAATTAGAATGTCCTTTTTCTGCCCCTACTTCTTTCTTCAAGTTGTAGGCTGGGATGCAAAGAATCTTCCAAACTAAATCCTCAAATACTCAGCAACCTCATGTGTAAGCAAAGAGTCAATCTTCATGACCTGGTCTTTTCATCTATAAAATGGGACTTATCTTTATAAATCTTTATAAATCCAATTCCCAAAGAACTGAGATGACAAAGTGAGTGCCCAACCGGCAGTAGGCAATAAAGTGACAGTTCCATTTCCTACTTTTCATATAAAAATTAAGAGTACTAAAATGTAATATGTGCTCAAGAAATCCTTCAGTGAAACCTGTTACATTGTTTTTTTTGTTTTGGACAGTCTCACTATATAGTTCATGATGGCCTTGAACTCACTGTTGCAGTCCAGGGTGGCTTCAAACTCCCAGCAATAGTCCTGCCTCAGCATCCTGAGTGCTGGTATTACAGAGGTGTACACCACACCCAGCTGAAACCTGTTAAATTCTTAAATCTACTACATTCTGCCATAATTTCAGTCTTTATGTCACATAAAATACGCAACAAAAAGTACCCGACTAAAAAACTTTTAGCCGTGAGCTCCACATGTGCTTTCTGTGTACCCATTTAAAGAAGACTCGTTAAGATGAAGACCGGCAGTATGAAATGTAAACACGAGCGGCAGTACAGGGATAGCTCAGACACTAGCATTATCCCAGCTGTATTAGAAAAATGCTAGGTCAACTGAGAATAGCAAGAACTACTAAAAGTTGGGTTGTGGAGTAATATTTAATGCTGGTAAGACTCCAAATTCACTATCCAAATGAATTTATGAACAAGTGTCCTTTTTTTCTTTCTTTCTTTCTTTTTTTTTTTTTCTTTTTCCTTTTTATCGGTACCGGGGATCGAACTCATGATTGCCTGCTTGCAAGGCAGGCGCTTATGCCACTGAGCTAAACCTCCAGCCCTCCTTCTTTTTTTTAACAATGCTGGAAATGGAATCCAAGCCCTCCTTCCTACTCGCTAAGCAGACAATCTATCTCAGCTACATGTCCAGCCTCCAAATGGTCATTTTAGGAAAATGCTCAGGACTATCTTTATAAACAAAAGTCATCTATTTACTTGCAATGAGGAAGAAACAATCTCAAAACAAGTAAAAATTGTCCCTTCCAATGATTTAGGCATGGCTTTGTCATAATCGTGACCAAGTCTCAAAGCATTCATCAACACACTCCTGGAATCTGATATCATAACTCTTAAGTGTATTATTTTTATTTTGTTGAACATACAACTTTATCTGACCTTAAAAATCCTATACAAGAGACAGAACCTCTAACTCAATCACTACTGTCTTAAGAGTCCATTCCTCAAGTTGTCCCAAAAAGAGGCTATGTCAAACCTCTGCTTTAAGAGTTTTTCATTAATAAAATCAATATATAATACCCAATAAAAGGTTAGAATACCTTATATGAAGAAGAAATTTTTTTTGGTAGTGAATGAGGGGAAAATATCAAACAGATAAAGTAAACAGCATAACAAAAGTATATCATCGTTTTTTGGGAGGAGGGTAATTGTTTTTTTTGACATAAGGTCTCACTATGTAGCCCAGGAGCAATCCTTCTGCCTCGGCCTCCTGAGTGCTAGTGTTACAGGTATGGGCCACCATGCCTGGTTCAACAGTTTTACTCTTCATAAAAAATTGAAGAAAGAGTTAGGTGTGGTGGTGCATGCTTCTAATCCCAGTGTACATTTAGGAGGCTGAGACAGGAGTTTGAGGCCAGCCTGGGATACATAGTGAGCTCAAAGCCAGCCAGTCTGACTACACAGTGAGACCTTATCTCAAACACAACCCCACACAGCATGCATGCAAAGACAATCATAGCTCAAAAATTGTTATTCTATGTGTTTGATCAAATTTTTAAGAAATTAGCTAATAGACCTGTTATGGTTTGTATCTAGATGCCCCCACAAGCCTCATGTGGTGATAGGTGAACTTTTTAGAGGTGGCTGGACCTAGGGAGTGTGATGCTGAGATAAAGGAAGTAATCCTGGGATTGATTCACAGTACGGTGCTAGGATTAAAGCTGCCCTAACCTGGGTGCAAGTGCAGGGAGCTTGGATAAAATGTAAGTGACAGAAAGAGGGCTACTGTTGTTGCTGATTGTCAGCTGCAGCTTGCTGAAGCAGGCAGGAAGCCTGACTCTGCGATTTTTCCTCTGCGATGCCCCTCTGCCAGGCCACTCTGCCTGGGAGCCAGCCTGCTAAGAACTGCGAGCTACAATAAACCTTTTCTCTTTCAAGTGTCAGATGGTTTGTCTCAGTAATGAGAAAAGGCTACTTTTTCATATTTTAAATAAAGGAAATTACAGAATTGAATGATTCAGGTAATAAAGATGGAATCTATAGTAAAGACAGCTGATAATTCTCTACCATTCATTCTTCTTTACTACTTTACACAGAAACAAAACCCTCAGAACATGATTACCCAGGATAAGACTTTAGTGTCTCCCCTGGTACTGATTTCTAGGTATGGCTGAGTTTTGACCATTGGAATCTGAGTGGAAATGCTTATAAATTCCAGGTGGTACCATTCTCTGTCTCAGTAGTTGTAGAAATGATCAGTCAGTGTGGAATTGAGAACATTTTAGGAACAGCATGGACATAAGACAGTAGAGTTAGGGTGCCCACCATCATCAAGGCTCTAGACTGATGACCTCTGAACTATGTAAGAAAAAAACTAACCTTTTTATCTTAATCGAGTATCATCCTGGGTCTCTAGTAGAGTGGACAAATGTATATCCTAATTAAGTATCCCAAAGCTTAAAATCACAGGATGATCAACAGCAAAGAGTCAAATGAGAAAAGCAGTAGATGTCATGATTTGCCAGGGAAATAAGATATTTTGATAAATCATGATCTAGTAGTTACAGATTCTAGTTATAGAGCCAATCCAAATAAAACCATAGTTAATCCTTTAAAAAGAGAATAATTCTTATCATGAAGCTATTTTATATGGAAATTGTATATACTACTAAAACCAAAGCCACTAAGTGAGTGACTTCACCATTTCACCCTGGAGTATCCCTGATAACCAGTGGTGTAAAGAGTAATAAAAACAGGACTTAACAAATTACCTTGGGAAATTGAAATACTAAATTTAAAAAATTTCTGTACCTTTTACATACATATTTCTCTATGAAATACATTGATCAATTAGAAATCTTCCTTTCCTTACTCTATCATCTTGCCTTGTTGAACTAACCTTTGCTTTGCCTCTCTCCAGTCCCTTTTCTCCTCTTTCCACCATGACTATTGGCATCGAGTACATAGCAAAATGCTGAGTACATCCCACAGATGACCAGCAAAGTTACAAAAAACACACTTGTTCAAGTCAAGATAAGCCTAACTCTTTTATTACCTGAAGTACTTCACAATCTGACCCTGCCAGTCTTAGGTTATTCTTCAAATGTTACTCTCTCCTCTTCACTCCTCCCTCCTCAAATTTCCTAGCACTGTACAGTTTTTGTGTATTTATGTGATCTGCTAACCTGAACTGTTCTTCCTGTTTATATTAAATCGATGCTTGTCTTTTTCTTTTTTTGGGGGGGGTTGTTTTTTTGGGGGTTTTTTTGTTTGTTTGTTTGTTTTTGGACAAGGTCTTACTGTGTAGTTCAGGCTGGCCTGGAACTCACTATGTAGCCCCCAGGCTGGCCTCAAACTTGCAACAATCCTCTTGCCTCAGCCTCTCACGTCTGGGATTACAGGCTGTACCACCACATGTGGCAATTTAAGGTGTTTTGTTTTGTTTTGTTTTTGTTTTTTTTTATCCAAGATACAGGTCAAATCTCATCTCTACAAGATGAGATTTACCATTTGTTTATCCTAATTATTATCTATTATGGAGATTCCCTAGCTCCAAACTAAATTAAAAGTTCCTCAAGGGCATGTTTTACTTCTATCTATGCTCCTCAGGTTCTAACACAGTCTGGCACATGCTGCATGTCAAGGATACTACTATGCACCATGAGTATCATGACACACTGTGAAGTTTTCTAAGCTGATCTCCATGTTCCTCCCACACACGTACACAAGGAAGCACACTATAAGCACTATTTAATCTAGTGCTTTCATTTATACACTTCTTATAGATACAAAAAAAAAAGAATATCTGCAAATTCATCTATACTATAGAAATTAAATTCATAGCAACAAAGGCACAATGTAGATCTTGTTTGGTTCTCAATTTAACAAAATAATTTTGAAAGGACATTTCTTTAAACAACTGGAGAGCTGGGCATGGTGATGCACACCTATAATCCCAGCACTCAGGAGGCTGAGGCAAAAAGACTGCTATCAATTCAAGGCCAGCCTGGGCTACAAAAGTTAGTTCAAGGCAGCCTCATCTGCATAGTAAAATCCTGTCTCAAAAAGACACCCTGCCCTGCAAAAAAAAGATGTATCACATAAGAGATAACACCAAAGAATTATTAATATCACTATATGTGACATGGCATTACACTTATGTAAGAAAATGCATATTTTTAGAGATGCACATGGATATACACACCATTAGAACAAAGAAGGACTATGATTTTCTTTAAAACAGAAATAATAATCTCAGCACTCAAGAAGCTGAGGCAGAAGGATTGAGGTGACTTCAAGGTCAGCCTGGACTACATAGTGAGTTCAAAGCCAGTTTGAACTATGTAGTAAGACCCTATACGAAAAAAAAACAACAACAAAAATAAAAACAAAGAAGTCTTTAAAACATTAACAGAAACAAAAGGGAAAGCGGGAGGAGGGAAAGCAAGAATTATAGGAAAGGAAGAAATGTAGTAGGGGAGGAAATGGAAGAGGGGAAGGAAATAAAAAGCTGCATGACAATGTGGAAACTGGGTCATATCGACGGGGCATTAGAACACAATTCTCTCTACTTACATGTATGTTTAAAATTTTTCAGGTGCTAACAATCTTTTAAATTAAAAAACTCAATTTGAACGAATATGTTAGCAACAAAAATCAAATTTAACTGCTGTTTAAATAAGAAGTAAAACAGTACCAATAATGACAGAAGTACCCTCTTCTTTTGCAGTTAGAAAAACTACGGACATCCATTTTTACCAAAATGTTATTCTGCTTAATCAGCAATGTACTGGCAATACTGTATTACTACAGGCTCTATAAATATTTGCAGAAGGAAGAAATTTAGATGAAATACACTAATATACATTAATTAATTCACTACTATTCATAGAGCCTTGACTATATTACAAAATATAGGGCCATGATCAGAGAATTTAGCTCAGCAGCAAAAGCACCAGCCTTGTAAGCGTGCAGTTGTGAGTTCAATCCCCGGCACCAAAAAAAAAACCCAAAAACAAACAAACAAACAAAAAACTAAAACACAATCAATCAGGAACAGTCTCACAAAGATGTTCCTATGGAAATAGCTAGCTGGTTTTTTTTTTTTAAGTCAGACATTCAAAACTTCAACCAAAAAACAGTACAGCATTTGCTGATTTTAAATACCAAACTCAAATATAAAATATATCACTTTTTGTTGGTAATTATTTTCCTTCAGTCATTCTGAATTATAATCTTGACGTCTATGGAATATTCATTATTACAATAAAGTATGTGTTAGCTGTAAGAATCAAATTTAAAAGGCATTCTTCAGCATTAGAAGACTGATATTTTTCTCTTCGAACAAATATAAACACCTCTTGATTAAAGAGGTGATTGATTGTAACCCTAATATAATTATTGTACCCACCTCGTAGTATACATTAGAACATGGAAGGTCTAAACCAAATGACCCAGAAGCTCTAAATTTTTAAGTTTATTCAATAAAATGGTCATTTACTACTTATGTTTTTTTTTTTTTTAAAGAAAAAAAAAGAAAGAAAGAAAGAAAGAGGGCAGGCATAGTAGTGCATGCCTGTTATCCCAGCACTTGGGAGGCTGAGGCAGGAGAACTGCCACAAATTTGAGGCTAACTTAGGATACATAGTGATTTCAAGGCCAGCCTAGGCTACAGAGTGAAACCTTGTCTTCATAAAACCAAAATGAAAGGAAGGAGAGAGAGACAGAAAGAAAAAGAGAAAGCAAAAGACAGAGAGAGGGGAAGGGGAACTAGTTACTCTGATGTGAAAATTTTGAATTACTTTTTCTCTAAATGATGGAACTCTTCTCACCTACGATCCTTCAAAAGTCAAACTAACACTGTACCAATTAGCATAATCTTGTTATTTTAGTTATTTGGTCATTAAGAATCTGGTAACCACAGCAGAGTATGTCTATAATACTAACTACTCACTAGGCTAAAGCAGTAGAATCACAAGTTCAAGGCCAGCCTGGACGACATAATGACGTCATTATGACGACATTATGTCATCCTATGTTTAGGGTCAGGTTTAGCTGATCCTAAACCTCAAGTCAGCTCTCCCCTAGTTCTGGTCAAATAATGCACTGTATATAATGAATATTTATAAGTAAAAATCTGTGAACAAAACTCTATGTCCTATTTCAAGAAGCAGAAGCAAAATTCACAAACCTTCAGCAATCATGTCTTCCATCTCTGTATCAGACGAGTTATCTGGGTGCTTTGTATTGTTCTGGATCTCTGGTTGAACACACACAGAATTCATCACCTGATTATCCAAAAGAGGCCTTTTCTTCACAGGTTGTTCTATCAGCAAAGATGAACGACTCACCTTTAAAAGGCAGACAGAATGAAAAAGACATGAAATAATCTCAGACTTCTGAATAAAAGTAACTTTCCTAAAATACCACTTGAATGGTATCTGTGGTAATTTACTTGTTCATTGATTAAATATATTCATTAAGTATTTTACGCCTCAAGTAAAGGTTAGGCAGTCTGGACATAAACATTTTTATCTCTAGTCACCAATAAAGTAGATGCTTAAAAATTTCTGTAAAATGGAACCTAGTATCCTAGTTCAGGGAATAGTTAAAAATGAAAACATTAAAATTCAGTGATTCCTACACACTTCTCAGGTGAATAAGTACAAACAACAAATAAATATGTGAAAAAATGTTCAACATCACTGGTCATTCAAGAGATGCAAATTAAACAACACTGAAATTCCACCTCACCCCAGAAAGAATGACTATTATCAAGAAATCAAGTAATAATAAATGCTGAAGGGGCCGTGAGGAAAAAGGAACCCTCTTGCACTGTTGTTGGGAATACACTGGTGTAACCACTATGGAAATCAGTGTGGAGATTTCTTTAAAAACTAGGATTGGAGGATCCCATTCAACCCAGTTATTCCTCTTTTGGGTATCTTCCCAAAAGAATTAAAAACATCATACCAGCAATGTATGTGGCACCCTTGTTTATAGCAGTACAATTTGTAATAGCTAAATCTTAGAAACAACATAAATGCCCATCCACTGAGGAATGGATAAAAAAAAAAAAAAAGTGGTATGTTTATACAATGGGATATTACTCAGTCATAAAGAAGAATAAACTGGGAGACTTTTATAAGTAAATAAATGCAACTTGGGACCATATTCTTAAGTGAAATAAATCAAGACACACATGTGTAAACATAATATTGTCTCACTAGTGTTAAAAGCAGAGACTATAATTATCAGAATATTCAGGAGTTGGGTAGGGTATTCTGTCATTGAATTTTTGTTTTTTGTCATTCTGAGGATTGGATCGAGGAGCGTGTGCTTGCTATGCAAGCAGTCTACCACTGAACTATACTCCTAGTTCTTTTTATTTGTGTTTTTAACTTTTGAAAATGCTGTTCAGTTAGCAATTCTCTTAAATTCTATGCGATAGCTAATCTTTTTCCCTCAGAAACTTTCATTTTTTTCTGTAAAAGGGAAAACAAAAGATGAGTATTTGTTTTTTTCCTTTCTTTTTTAGTGCTAGGGATTGAACCTAGGCCCTCACATATGTTAGGCATATGTGATTATGCCTACAACTCTACAACTGATACACCCCAAGTAGATATTGTACATATTTTATAGATAAGGAAACTAATATTCCAAGTATTTAGATTATATATTTACAAAAGCAGAATGAAAACTATAACTCAAGCTTAACTTCTACTTTAGCAACCTATTCCATTGTAAACACAAATGGAAAAACCCTCAAATACTGTTAATATGAAATGAACATTAACAAATTATTTACTATGTTCAATATACTTGGTTGTCATAAATACTTATTTTAGAAGTTTTTTTAGAAAAAATAATTCAAACCAAAAAAATATTCATTGATTTTTCAGGTAAGCCCTCAGCTATTGTGAAAAACAGGATGATTAGAACATCTTATTCCTCAAGAATGCTGGCTAAGTCTTCAATACCTGCCATATATGGAGAACCACAGCTAATTAAAAATTTACTTTAAAGCAAAATCAAAATTTTAAGTCAAACAAAATTTTTATTTTTTATTCCAGTAAAGTATTTAATATACCTCATGTAAAATTTATAGAAGTTACTTCTAGGGGGGGAAAGCTAATATTCAGTACTAATAAGGGCATACACATCTAGTGGATGAATAAACAAATAACTTTTCCAAAAAATAATCTGACAATACATCGTCTTCTGGAAATACACGTAATATGATACAACTAGTTGAAGGAACTTCTAAGAAAATTATTAAAATGTGGACAATATATTAATAATACAGATACTTCTTTTAGAATTTTTTTTTTTGGTGGTGCTAGGAATTGAACAGCAGAGAACATACGTATGTATAACAGTAACCTTGATTATATGGATACACACATACATTATTACTGGAAAATGTTTGTTCTATAAATTTCCCAAATTTTCATTTAGAGTATATAATACTCTAATATTCATAATTCATAATCTGAAAAATAAAAATTCTAAATATTCATAATTCATAATCTGAAAAATAAAAATTCTAATTGTTACTAGTGACAACAGGTAATAATACCGATATATATAGGAACGCTAAGTTCAACACTCACACGTATACACACACACATACACAGAAACCTGAACACAGAGGCAACAACTAATGCAACTATTGAAATGCAAAATTTTCACTTACAAATCTGGAAATTCTGATGACTCAAAAGGTCTTCAGGAGAAATACTTGTTTTAATGTCTTTGATTTTTTTTCCTAAGGAAAAATGTTTATCTCCAGATACTAGCATATAAATTACCTACCATTATGAGTAAGTAGTGATGTCTTATAGTAAAAGAACTTTCATTTTGAGGTGAACATATTAAAGCATGTTAAAAACCTGGTTGAAGCATGACATTTAGAATAATGGAAAAATCTATTTGGTAATCATAGCATGTTGGGTAACTACAGATGTGTTAAGAGAACCGAGTAGTTAAAGTTCATGAAGTAATCACATATTAGAAATACCATTTTAAAAATAATACATTTCAAATGTCACTTTAATACCCTTAAAAAGAAGAAATAAAAATGTTTATTTCATTGGAGTAAGCTTTCCACTTGCTACTGACTTTCGCAAAAAATACAAAAATCAATGCCCTATGAATTTTTGCTCATTTTTCCTTACTTATGTGTCTAACTGGCTAACATGACACTAGAAATATATTTGGAAATATATAGAGTCCAGATAAACATTATGAGCTTTCCTTAGAGAATAATAAAAATTTTTAAAACTCACACATATACTTGCTACTTACAGGAAATGGTTCCAATCCCTCCTGAATCACAAACCCTTCAATGACGTGAGTCAAAATCTGTGGTTTAACAATAGCTTGTGGAGGCTTGTTTTCAATGTTGGGAATGCTACCAGGCATAGGTGTACTATTACTCCTTGTGGTAGCAGCTGGAAGTAAAAGTGGAGGTGGAGGAACAGAAACATGTGAGGGATCTGATGAAGATTTAATTACTGAAGCACTGACTGATGCCACTGCAGGTAATTCCACTTGCTCTGGAAAAAAAATAAGCAAGTTAGTTTTTGATCGTTAGCATCTTGCCTGCACAATACTTAATAAACTATCTTAACCAGCACTTGGGAGGCTGAGACAGAAAGATTGCTGCAAGTTTAAGGCCAGCTTGGGCTACAAAATAATTCCTCTCAAAGTGAGCTCAAGGCTAGTTTGCATACTGAGACCCTATCTCAAAACAAAAACAAACAAACAAACCAATTGTCTTAAGAACTTTGTTATCTCATTTAATTGGCACAATAACCATATAAGATAGAAATTACTATTTTTCCCATTTTACAGAAGAGGATAATTTGCTCAAAGTTATTTGAACATTATTTTAAAAACTCTCCTCCATAAGACATGAAAATGTTTTAGAATACCATCTCAAGAATAACTAAAAGAATGATTAGTTGGGTTGTTTTTTGGGCTACAGAGACATTAAATTCCCCATGTTCCTATTTCTATATTCCCAATGGTATGAGGAGATAGGCAAATACCTTGAAAATGAAAAAAATCATAAATCCACAGAATAGATAACTTTAATGAATTATGCCTTTAATTTTAAGCAGAAAGACTCCTCTAAGATCTCACATAAATTTTCTTTGTTATTTTTTTTTCCAGTGTCTTCAGTGACACCAAATATGTTGATCTGGGAAAATGCTTCGGCACCAGTCAAGTGCAACACCTTGGTGATTCTCCCCCATCACATTCTGAAGGCCACAGGACGATAGACCCAACAGCCTGCAGTGGAGCTGTTACCTACCTATTGAATAGCACTTTTTATTCCCTGTACTAAAGTAAAGAAATCTAGCGTATGAGCAAGTACAGATGGCTGAGGAAAACAAAAGGGTATGTGTGTACACATGATAATGATACTGAGCTCTCTCACACCAGTTACCATGTTCAATGCCTTACATATGGTAACTCATTTAATCCTCACAACTATCCTATGAACACATCTGTTATCATCACCATCCTACAGGTGAGGAGACCTAAGACTAACAGTTAAATTCTTGTCTTAATGGCACACAGCAAATAAGCAGTAAAAATGGGACACAGCCATGAAGATTGGTTCTAGAGATCATGCTTTTAAACTATTTTAACTCCACATCACTGTGAAAATTACTGATACTGGGGCTGGGGATTTAGCTCAGCGGCATAAGCACCTGCCTTGCAAGCAGGCAGTCGTGAGTTCAATCCCTGGTACCGATAAAAACGAAAAAGACAAAAAAAAAAAAAAAAAAAAGAAAAGAAAAGAAAATTACTGATATCACCTACCAAAGATGCTCAAGAGATAGCCCAGTTAGGTAGAGAAAAAAGTAAGGAATCTCTAAAGAGAAAACTCTGCTCATAAAACAGCACAGTGGAAGCTGAGCTCAATGGTAGATCACTTGTTCACCATAAATGAACACATACGTTTGAGCTTCAGTACTGCAAAAAAATTACAGTAACATCAGAGAGTTATCATTTGCATATATTCTCAGACACAGAAATGTAGAGTAGGGATGTAGCTCAGTGGTATAGCACTTGAGTACATGCCTAGTACATGAAAAAAAACATATCCAGCAAAGAAAAAAATAATTCTAAGAAAAAAATGGAAACACTAACAGTTCACTATTATTAACACCAATGTGATATTATCATGTAGTTTTTAACAGCATTATTATACCCACAAATTAACCTAGTTCTACCAAACATACCAATATAAACTATGTTGTAAAACTTACTAAAGGTCATTCAATCTATAAAAAGCTTTTCCAAAAAGGAGAAAATAGTAATTTGCTAATTTTAGGAACAAATACAAAATTATATGTATATATTATCAAACAGACAAACCCCACAAAACTCTTATGTATCAAATTTTCTATGGGATAAAGTATAAAATTCTGAAAGAGAACTGTTGTTAAGACAAAATAAATTAATGGGGACCTGAAATAAAATAAAATTGCAATATCCCTTTGAAACCTTCTCTTTTAGAAGTCTAAAGCTGCATACTCCGCTTTAAATGTGTACCCTAAAATTCATGTGTTGGAAATTTAATCCCAACACAGCACTGTTGAGAGATGGGGCCTTTCAAAGGTCAAGAGGGATTAAGTTGCATCTCAGAAGTGGGTTCATTATCACTAGATGCATTTGCTATTAAAGCAAGTTTGACTCACCCACACTTATACAGATCCTCTCACCCTCACCCAGGTGATGCCTTCTATCGTGTTACAGTGCAGCAAAAAGTACTCACAAGATGTGATCCTTAGATCCTAGAATTACCAGACTCCACCACCAGATTGCAAACAAATTTCTGTTTATTACAAATTACTGTCTGAGGTATTGTGTTATAGCAGCACAAAATGGATGAAGATACTATATTAAGTATAATTAAATATAATAGTTTGTGCAGAAAATACTGCTTGGTACATATTCTAATTAATTTCCAGATCATATGTACAGATCTTCTAAGCCCTAAATTTTGTTAACAACAGAGATATAAACTACTGACTTTTTTTTTAAAAAAAGAAGCTAATACCTATTATTTTCCAGTTTACAAAAAGGAGTTAGGGCCAGGGATTTAGCTCAGTAGCATAAGTGCCTGCCAGGCACGGGTCATGAGTTCAATTTCTGGTATCACAAAAAATAGAATAAGCTGTTAAAAAGCACAAGAAACATCAGAAAGCCAACTACTACACTCTAAATTTGAAAAGAGTGAGAGAAAACTGAGTTGTCATACTATCAACTACTTGGTCTCATTTCTTGCACAAGAGTCATGAACTTTTCCTACTTTCTTGCATGGAGAGTTTTATTTTCAAAGAACTTTTACAGATTTATAAAAGCTGAATCCTGGATATAAATAAACCTATCTGCAAGTTAGTTTATTTTACCATTTGACAAGAGTTTTAAAAATCAACCTGTGCTTTTTAAAATTCACAGTATTACAGAAAAGTGGTAAGTATAGAGCAAATTATAGGAAGATTAAAATGTCTACACTGTAGTTGTCAACTTAGCCAGAGGAATGTGTTTGATTGGACCTCACAGTATCCTTGAGAAAAAAATATTAAAAATACTCTTGTGTTCCAACATTTTACAAATGTTTCAATTTGGTGTCAGTACATCAGTACCATTAATGAAGCTTTTTAAAAATAATGCCTATTTGAATTAAGTCACCCTCATAATCCAAGTTTAAGATTCAGTATAAAAAACCCTATAAAGATTTCATACTGTAGGTTAAATTTTCTTGTAATTTATCTTTTTCAGATATTATTTTGAATTAAACAGAGGCAATAATGTTTTATTTCATATAATTATACTGACTAAATGTTTTGTATTAGGAAGAAACAAAGAAGAATACTGATTTCCCCTTTCTATGCTTTGCAGAGCTTCACAAGTGTAGCGAGGAAATAAGAGCTTGAGAGAAGGGCGGGAGAAGATGTGGCATGCTGAAGGGAGCAGAGGGCGAGAGCTGCGTTGGTACCAGGCAGTGTGTCTCATCACAATTTGTTTTCACAGACATTTTTTCCTTAATCAAAATGATCCCTAGGGTCTTGAGAAAGAAAATCAAACAGTATTTACAACAAAGCCTGAAGCGATATTGCTATTACTTAGGTCAAAGTGGACAAACTTGCAGTAAAAGACCATAAAAACTCTACAGCTACTCAACTTTGTAGAATACAGCCACAAAAGCAGCCATAGATAGTACTAGAACAAGTGAGTATTGCTATGTTTCATGGACCTTTATTTATGGATAATAAAATATGAATTTCATATAATCTTCACGATTGAATTATTTTTCTTCTGATGCTTTACAACTATTTGAATATTTTCAAATCATCCTTCCTTGAGCTATACAATAGGTAGCAGGAAAAAAAAAATCAACAGTGAACTGTAGTTTGCCATATACTTTATCTAAATAAAACATTTGTTACATTTTTAAAAAATCAGTAAACCTATTTTTAAGAACTAAACACAGGACTGCCAGTTAAACTAATGTTTCAGTAAAGCATCTAGGGTTCATAGTAACCAACAGTGTAAAGAGTGTACAGGGAGTCTACTCAAAAGCACAGAATTAGTGAATATGAATCTGGAATGCTTAACTGCAAGACATGTTTTAATCTGTTTCTTGTAAGAACTACCCTGAATTAAAGTACAATTGTTTTGAGGTTTTTTTTGTTTGTTTTTGGCTTTTTTGTTTGTTTGTTTTGCGACAAGGTCTTGCTATATATTTCAGACTACCCTTGAAAACACTATGTATTTTAGGCTGGCCTTGAACTTACAGTGATGCATGTGTCTTCCTCACCCTTTTGTGTGCTGGACAGGCATGCACCACCACATCCAGCTCTAAGTACTGCAACTATTAACTTTTTTTTTTTTTAAATTGGTACCAGGGATTGAACTCTCAACTGCACGCTTGCAAGGCAGGCGCTTATGCTGCTGAGCTAAATCCCCAGCCCCTAACTATTAAATTTTTAAAAGCAATGTTTATGGGTCATAAGAAACAATGAAGAATATCAAATATGACTTGTGATTTTTAGAAAATATAATTTAAATCTTTTGATAGAATCCTGAATTATTCTAATTTTTAAGCCAGAAATGGCTCAAGACACAAATGCCAATAAGCATATACTGTACAAACCACTGAAAATTAGATGCTTTGAAATAGTATGTTTTTTATGAGTGATATAGAATAATTTATAAACTATTAAGCTTTGCAGCTTTAAAGAATTTTCCACAAGACAAATAATTATTATTCACTCTTTAATAAACTGTTCTTATAAAAATAAAAAATAAATGTCGAGTTTTTGCTGTAACAAATTAGCTTAATACCACATCTAATAAAAAATATTTCCCATTGCTAGCATCAGATAGGAAAATACCCCTATATTTTGGTATTTTCTCACCTAACAAAGGATGGTCAGAGGTCATATCCTCTCCTCTCCCCACAGTTATAGCTGCTGGAGACAAAGTGGGAGGTGGTGGGGTTCTATCCATCCGAACACATTCATCAGACTCCTCTGGCATTTCTTCTTCACATACATCTTCTACTTGATAAACCTGCAATGACAAACCACATTACCTTAAAATGTTTCCAAAAACAACATCTATTAAGGTACTCTAAATTTTTAAAGTTAAATTCTAAGTATATTAAACTTAAAAACAAAGTAAAATGACTATTCTGACAAGTAGAAAGGAAAACTTTAAAGTCACTTAAATGAAGTTTTTCATTACAATTAATATTTCACTGAAAGCCAGCTTCAGGTCAGTTATCTAGGCCAAAAATTACTAAGGTTTCCAAATTGATTAGTTAAGGGTGGAAATATTTTTAATTTTAAAAATTAAAAAGTTTTTGATTTTACAAATAACTATTTCAAGAACTATACTACAATTTAAGTACATTTCTACTTGTCATAAATCAAAACAGATACTAGCAATTTTCACAGGCATACTTAAATAAACTTCTAAACTACCAAGTAATATTATTAGGAAATACAATGCCAGGAGGACAATATCCCAGGCTTCTATCACTATTATAATCATTATTATTATTTATACTAAAGATTACATTGTAACCCAATATCTACAAAAAAGGTATACCATTTTCTTTCCTTTTCTGTTCTACTAAAGAATCTAATGAATTACATAGGCTAATGTTAAGTGTATAGAAAACAATAATGAGTACACACACACCCTAATCCATATGCATATGTTTTTTATTTCTCCAATATTGTTCCATGCTTATAGAGAAATATTTTAAGCCTACCTTGTTATCTGGTTATAAACATTATACTTAAAAGGGGATACAGAATCAAAAGTACTCTAGAAGGAATTGTGTAACTAGAAATTACTGACTTATCAATGATTTATTAAAGTTTACAGAGTGTATTTCTAGAGATTGATTTTAACTGACCATCACTTAACCATTATTTATAAAAAATAGATTACTGAAAATAAAGGCACAAAACAGTCAACTTTTCTTCTTAAAGCTTTTACTTAAATCTGTTTTTAAAAATTATTTAACCAAACTGATTATTATGCCAATAAATGTTAACAAAATGAAAAAAAACTTGAACAACATTCATAAAATAACTTTAAGTGACACCTAACATTTAATTATCTATTGAAAAAGTTTAATGATTTGAAGTATATAAAATTAAATATGAAAGTCACTAAGATTTCTGGATCAAACAACTACCATGGGTTATAAAAGACTATGGAGTGTCATCTATAAAGGTATACATAACAACGAGTCATAGAGGTTTTTAAAAAACAGTCCTTCTGGGCATGAGTTACATGCCTATAAGCCAGAACTGTGGAAGGCTGAAGCAGGAGAATTCCAAGTTCAAGCTTGGCCTAAGCAATTTAATGAGTTAGTGAAACCCTGTCTCAAAAAATTATAAAATGGCTCAAAATGATGCTCAGTGTCAAGGCTCTAGGTTCAATCCCCAATGCCATAAAATTTAAAAATACAAATAAAGTCTTGAGCCAGGTGTGGTGGCACATTGTATAATCCCAGCACTTAGGAAGCTGAGGCAGAAGGACCGCCATGAGTTCAAGGCCAGTGGGGGCTACATAGTGAGTTCTCAGCTAGCCTGAACTACGTAGTGAGATCCTATATCAAAAAACAAACAAACAAAAAGAAAAGACAAGACAGAAAGGAAGAAAGTCTTTCCAAGTCTCTATTAAGAACAAAACTTTCTCCTTTTTTAAAACCTAAAAACTGTGTTACTGATAATTTTGTACCAAATATGATATACCAAGCTACTAAGTAGGTAACATTTTCATAAAGCTATCGACTCACAACCATGCATCTGGAAAACTGTTTCACTAACAGACTCCTTACCTGACCTCGGGGTCTCAGAAGGGTAAACAGTGATTCATTACTGTACAAGGCAACTCTTATAGCTGCCAGTACCTGTTTATAACAGTAACTTTAAAAAGGCAACAAGCCCAATATAGTATAAATCATCCAAAAATATCTGGAGGTTAATAAAAGAAATTTTTTTCTAGTACCCAAAGGTATCTGCTGGTATAGTGATTAATTTCCCTGAGGAAATTAATTCATGTTAATTAGACAAATAAGGTTTTATTAACTAGTTTTTATCTACATAGCATTTTCTTTAGTAGATATTTTTCTTCTAAAGAATACCATCTTTTCTTAAAATGCTGACATTCTGTTTAATCTTAGCTGCTATCATGTTATTCAAACATCTGCTACACTATCTTTAAGGAATCAAAACTTGATTATACATAGAATTGATTTTTTTAAAAACAATGAAATTGTTTTTAAAACACTGTAAATGTTTAGAATACTGTAAAATACTTTTCATTCTTTATAGTTAAAGCTAACTATGTTACTTTTTCCAGATCTCCCATGTAAAAGCAAAATAACAGAAGTGGACAAAAACAATTCTATCATAAACATCTTGCACAATCAGCACAAAGAAATCTAAATGCAAGAACTAAAATAGTGAAACAAGCAAAGATGTGGAAGTTTTGCTCGCAAGATCATTAGGAAACTGCACATCACAATTTCTGTTTAGCTCATAACTATAACTATTCTAAAAATAACAAAGACTGCCAAACTTACCTCAATTAAGTCCATTATTCCCATCTGTCTCCCTTTCCTAAATAAACTGAGGAACATTTGTTTATTAGTTCTAAATTATCTACCCTCAACATCTTATTTATACCCAAATCTCAAATTTAAAGTTAATAGATCTTTTAAAAACTACTGATTTTACTTTGATAATTCACCTTTATCTTTCAAAATTTCATACCTCTTAAGAAATAAATTTCTTTCTATCTTTAAATATTTGAAACAACCAAGAAAGAGTAATTTGCTAAGAAATGTGTTTTGATAGAAAAATACATTTAGTCAAAGATAATGAAAAGAAAAATACAGCAATTTACTAAACAGAACTATGTTACTCAAAGAAATGTAAAAGATAAGAAAATGTAACAAGAACATCTACAGCAAACATAATAACCATATTGGCAACAACAAAGTTATTAATTTCATGGGAAAAAAGTCCTCCAGAAATGAGATATGAAACTTTTGTAATCTATAAAAGGAGAAGGGCAAGAAGCACAAAACAGAACCTTAAATATTTTCAGCTTTAATTTAGTTTTTCTTTTTTCTTTTGGTTTGAAACAGGGTCTTCCTATGTAGTTCCAACTGGTTCTTGAACTCATTATGTAGCCTAGGCTCTCCTCCTGACTCTGCCTCTCAAGTATTGGGATTACAAGAGTGCACCACTGTGCTCTGCTTAAATTAGTTTTTAAAATGTTGAATGTTTAGTGTTTCTATCCTAATGTTTCCTCTAAAAAAAATTGGAAAAATACAAGGAATATTAGAAATGTTTTTTTATTTGTTAAAAACCAAATCATTGAACTAGGTAAGAATAAATTTACATTAAACTTGATTTCTTTGAAGGTATAGTACATTTCCTAAACCTGAGTTGTTACACATCCACTGTAAACAATTCAAAAATCCATGAAAAGAGAATTTAGATATAATAACAAACACAAATTTATTTCTAACACTTGTTTTTTGTCAAATTTTGGTTTTTAAAAGGGATTAGGAAGTAGAATTCAATTCCTTTTTTTTTTTTTTTTTTTTTTAATTGTTACGGGGGATCAAACTCACGACCACCTGCTTGCAAGGCAAGTGCTGATGCCGCTGAGCTAAATCCCCAGCCCCCTAGAATTCAATTTCATACTGGTAAGAATAAAACACCTATATATTTGTAACCTAAGATCCAAAATGTTTCCCATTAATAAAGAAACTTTAAAATTCCTTTCTTTTCTGAGTTAATGGTTATTTCGTTTTAAATAATATAAATCTCTTCTAGGAATATTCTTCGGTTACAAATTACGAATTTGATTAACTGACTAAACATTTAGAGACTTTATTTTACCTTTATTGTAAATTGTTGTAAGTTATGAAGTCCTTTAGACTATTTTTTTTTTTTGTCTTTTTCTTTTTTATCGGTACCAGGGATCGAACTCACGACTGCCTGCTTGCAAGGCAGGCGCTTATGCCACTGAGCTAAATCCCCAGCCCCTAGATTATTTTTTTTTTAAACAGATGACTTTCTAGGCAACAGTAAGATTTTTAGAGGTTTAGTTTGATAAATTTCACTACAATTTCAATTACTCAAAACTTATTTCTTCCCAATGGATTTTTTCATTCTCAGTATTAAAAGTCATCTACTGAGACTTGTAAGTTTTTAAAATAAAAAATATTTTTAGCATTTATTTTCCCATAGTAAAATTTAAAAATCAGTTAATTTGGGGGTGCTGGACTCTTTTTTCCTAGAATAAAAGGTTTTTTTAAGTTTTAATTATAAAATACAATTTTATCAAAAAATTACATCATATATGCACACCTCCTCCACCTTGAAACAAAAGCCCCTTAAGGCCCAGGACTTCAGACTGCACACAATCAAAAAGGTTATCTAGATAAACCATACGTTTAAGAACATACAAGCCAACAGAAGGGATCTATGAAGGATAATCACCTTAAGAGAAAAAACTTTGTGCAGATGACACTGGTTCAAATGCATTCCCTTGGGGAAAAAAAATCAACTCTGTAAAGATAGCAGATGGATTTGTTTAAATAGTAATAAAATTAACGAGGGACTTTAATAACCATCACAAACTATTAAGCATGCAACCACACTACAACAAAAAACAGCATTTTTTCCCATATAGCATGTTTTCCAGAATACCACCACATGGAAATTCCAAGCTTTTTAAATTAATAGGCATTTATATTTAGCAATATAATATAGTGTGGGAGAAAACAGTTTTACTTTCAGTTCATCAAGAAAGTCAAAGAGCTTCCAAGGGCTTACCACTGGTGGATCAACAGGTGCTGGTGGTTGTACTTGCAGGTTTACCGCAACAGTCTGTGGAGGAGGAAGAGTCTGAAATGGCAACTGGACCAAAGCTTCTGCAGCTGGAAGCTCCTCTTCGGACACCAAAGCATTCTGCACCAAAACCTGGCCCTGGGATAGAATTTCAGGCTGCACTTGTAAAGACTGCATAGACTGTAAGGGCAGTGGTGGAATCTGAGCTGGAGGAGATGTCGACATGTGTGGAGGGGTTGCAATTGGGATTGGAGAAGACTGTAGGGTTGAATACTGCTGGTGTGGTGTTGGAGACACAATCTGCTGACCTGGGGACACCAAGGCAGACTGCTGAACTGGGCCAATGTGTACAACAGGGGAAGGTGGAAGTGGAAGATGGGATGGAAGATTCAGCTGTGCTGTAGGTTGTACCTGACTAGCAGCAGGCGGCTGCAAATTTGGCCCTGGCTGAAGAGCTGATGACACAAGAGGGTGTGGCTGAATAAGTGCTTGTGGATGAATAATTATAGTAGGAGACTGACTTGGTGAATGAGGTGGTGGAGGAGAAACCACTACAGACTGCTGTGCTGACTGTGACTGATTCGGAGATACCGTTAAAGGCGGGGGATGGCTCTGAATCGGTGAACAATGCTGTGACTGAGCACTGCTGGGAGCTGGAGGAAGGCCATGGTTTTGGAGTGGTAAACAGTGCTGGGATGGGGGTGGATCTTGAGTTGAATTCTGAAGTGTGATTGGCTGAATTTGCTGTTGCTGCTGTTGTAGTATCAATTGATGATGGGAAACCTTGGGAGGTGGTGAATGAAGAGGAATCTGTTGATGTTTTATTAGAGAATGAGGCTGAATTGGAGAATATGAAGCTGTGAGAGAAAAAAATGACAATTAGTACTGATTTCAAAAATATTCATTAGAAATTTAAAAATAAATCAAAAGGAGGAAAGTTTTCACATCAGAAGGTCATAATCTTTACAATTCTGTTACAAGTCTTTTAGGTAACAGTGAAATGAAATTTTATGACAAACTGCTTTTCCTTGGAAAACTATAAAAATTTGATAAAAATAAGTTGTACTGTGGTAAAATGATCACAATTAAGTTGTGAGTAGTTTCCCTAGTCAGTCATGCCTCTTCTCCAAACCCACACACGTTTAGAAACAGAGAGATGCTGATGAAACCTACCCACCTAAGAATGGAAACTGGTTTCACTAAAAGATAAATTGAATGATTCCTTAATGTTATTAAGATATAAAATTATATACAGTTAAACCCGATCTAAAGACAGGGCAGAATTTTTTCTTAAATCTCAGAATGTAAAGACAAAACCTATGTAACATTTTGCATCTACTTTTATATTCAACCGTATTTATGACAAAATCATTATAAAAATTTCCAACAACTTTTCTCATGTTTTTACATTTCGTTATTTTTAAAATTTGGGGGACCTTTAAAGAAATTCACAATTGATTAATATCTCAAGAAAGACTGTTCAGAAGGTTCCATAACTATCTACTAATTATAAAAAGGGGGGGGAGACTTAAGGATGTAGCTCAATGATAGAGCTCATGCGTCACAAGAGTGTAGGCCTGAGTTCAATCCCCACTACCACAACAAAAAGAACAAAAAAAGAAAAACAGGTCTGATGCTTCATCTAACAAAATAATTCTCACATAATAATTAGACTAACACTTCAAACTAAGACTGTTAAGCCTTTAAAAAGTATTGATATTATAGATTATATTACATCACTAAAGAAACAAAATTAATTTTAGATTCCACAGAATGGCTTCCAGGGGACTAGGGTGCTTTATTTTTTTTGTCTTTTTCTTTTTATCGGTACCAGGGATCGAACTCACGACTGCCTGCTTGCAAGGCAGGCGCTTATGCCGCTGAGCTAAATCCCCAGCCCCTAGGGTGCTTTCTTATCTCTCATTTGCATTTATAAAATGCCTGTGAGATCACAGGCATTATTATCCTTCTTCTGCATAAAATACATTTTTTACAATCATAACAGAAAAAGCCCAAAATTTTAAATTGAGAACATTCTTGAAATACAATGGATATTATACTAATAATTTTTGCATTCTAGTAAGTCATCTTTTTATATTCTAGAGTTGATAATCCAATAGATCAATGATATGTCCTTTTCTAACTTAAATTTTTCTTGGATCAGAAGTCAAACTAAGTTTATATATTTTTATATTAGTCTGTAAGCACATACAACAATCACATATATAGAATAATTATCGAAATATGTGAAACAATGCCTCTGTATAAGAAAAGCCCATACTTCCAGGAAGATGGGGAGGCAGTAAACTGCAGAGAAATCAGCCTCTCTGAGAGTCACCGTCAAGATGCTGGAATATAGCATCATGAGGAAGACAAGAAGGAAGAATCTGAAGTGCAAACGGAGGCCCACAGAGTGAGTAAAAAGAAAAAGTTCAAGGAAGAAGATGCTAACTGGCAGCGTCTCACCGTGGGACGGACTCTCTGCATGAGAGGAACTATTCCAATCTGGGGATGCCCAGTCACTGTGACAGTGATGTCTGGAGACCCCGAAGGCCTCTGCAGAGAAACACAGCAGTGGAGGGGAGCAGCAGACACAGAACACTGTACTGGCTGGTGGTGAGTGCAGAGGACTCAGTCCTCCTGCAGAGAGAGAGCAATTAGCCGAGAGCCATTTTAGAGAAGGGCTGGATAAACCCTGAACCTAGAACTGCGACCTGCTTCCTCTAGCAGCTCCCAACAGGACACAGACTCGGAGAAATTGCTTGGACTGTGGGAAGCCAAATGAGTCTGGTCTCAAGGCAGGACAGCTGAGATTATCCATTACTCTGCCATGATGCAACTACTGGCCTGCTGGGATAAACTGACACAATCCAGAACTCTGTCTCCACAGAGCCAAGAGAGAATCTTGGAAGTGACCTGTTTTTCTTTGTCATATTTTTTTTCTCTTTCTTCTTCATTGTTTTTATATGAGTGTGAAAGTGGTTCCTAACCTCTTTGTGGGTGTGACTCTGTTCTGTTCTTCCTTTTATCTCTTCCATCTCTTTTCCTTCAGTTGTCTGTACCAAATTGCCATGATCCCCTTTTTGTCTTCCAACCTTACTTCTAATCTCTTTCTCTTCTTCCACTTCTCTATTTTCTCCTTAACCCATTTTAAATTTGAACACTCGAGAGCAAAATTGACACAGTACAGACTTACATACTGAATATAATTATCTGGTTTATTTTACATCTTATTATATAACCACAAATCTAATTCATATGGCTAAATTAAGGGTTAGCTCAGTTTGTTGTCTAGGCTGTATTTGATGCTACTGGTAGTATTATAGCCAAAATTGACAAAACTGTTCTAAACAGTTGTTGGTCTTGGTATCTCATGACTGAGATTGACTAAAGGTCACAGAATATACACAGGAACTCAGCCAAACAACCAACAACTTCTCATCTGTAACAAACTGAAGAGCTAAGAACTTCCAACAGACTCAAACCGAAAAACCAGCTATTCCTGGAAGATACTTCAGAGAACTAATCATCACGTAAGAGTCCTAAATACTACCAATAAAGCAATCCACCATAAGCAACTTACAACTATCACCCCAGGAATTAAACTAAAAAAGGAGAGAAAATAAAACAAGACACTTAAGCAAAATGCAACTTTAGATATCCAATTCACCAAAGGCAAAGCCAGGGGGCAATGAGGTGAGACAATTCAGCTCCCCCCAGGTCTCTCTGAAGTGGAAACAACAAAGCAACTGAATGAGGTTCTAGAAAAAATGAAATCAGAAATAATCTCTCAGATAACTATAGAGATTACCAAAATTTATACCATGCTTAGTGATGTTACTGCAAACACAGACAAAAAAAAAAAAAAAAAGATGAGCTTAAGAAAATTATGGCATAGGAAAGAAATGTGATCCATAAAGTAGATTCAAGCAGATATCCAGGAGAATAAAAACTCCACTGAAAGTATTCGAAGCAGATGAGGCCAATGTGACGACAGGATCTCAGATATTGAAGACAGGCTTGTAGTTAGTGACCAGAAAAAGAAGGATTTCTCAAAAATAGCAAGGGACAATCAAAAATGAATCCAGCAGCTACTAGATGAGACAAAGAAGAATAAGATTAACTGGAGTCAATGAACAAGCAGGAGATATCATAAATGACATTAAAAAATGTTCACAGACATCATGACAGAAAATTTTCCCAGTAGAGAAAAAGAATTTGACATGCAGATAAACAAGGCATGTAGAACTCCAATTAGCAATGATCAAAAAAAAAATCTACAGCCAGGCATATCATAGTCAAGATTCCTGAAATTCAACACACAAATATAATCCTAAAAGCTGTTAGGGAATAAAAACAAATCACCTATAAAGGAAAGCCCATCAGAATTACAGTTGACTTCTCAGCACAAACTCTCAAGTCAAGGAAAGCTTGGAGTGAAATAGTCCCAAGTTCTAAAGGAAAACAATTTTCAACCCAGACTGATGTATCCTGCAAAAACTATCTTCAAAATTGACAGAGAATAAGATATTTCCATAACAAAGAACATCTAAGGAAACGTGTAACCATCAAACCAGCGCTCCAAAATGTTCTGAAGGATATTTTAGAAAGAAATAATAAGGACTACAGTTCCAGAACACGAACAGAAGGAATCTACCAGGGAAGCAAACAATTAGAAGAAGGAAGAAGAAAAAAAAAAAACAGTAGAGCCAACAACAGAAAAATAACATGACAAGGGTAAGTCAATACATTTCAGTTATAACCACCAATGTTAATGGTCTCAATTCACAAGTCCCAGGACACAAACTGGCAGAATGGATTGAGAAACAAGGTCCAACAATATGCTGCATACAAGAAACACATTTAATTTTAAAAAAATTCAGACTGAAAATCAAAGAATGAAACATAATATTCTATGTGACAGGAATCTGGAAAAAGGCAACGGTAATTATTCTATTTGCAGACAAAGTGAATTTCAAGCCAAGATTGATTAAGAGAGATAAAGAAGATCACTATATCCTCATACAAGGAACAACAACTGAGGAAGAGATAGCAATCATAAATATATATGCAACAAATACTAATGCACCCAACTATATAAGATAATTACTAATGGACATGAAAAATCAAGCCCTAATACAAATGTACTTCACTGTCACAAAAAAGACAGATGAACTAGACAAAAAAATCAACAATGAAATTTTAGAACTAAATCAAACTTTTGAACAAATGGACTTAGCAGATGTCTATAGTGTTCTATCCCACATCAGAATACACGTTCTTCTCAGCTGCATATGGGACATTCTCCAAGACAGACCATATACTAACTTACAAAGCATCCTTAAGTAAATGCAAAGGAACTGAAATTATCCCATGCATACTATCAGACCACACTGCAATGAAATTGGAAATCCATGCCAAAGGAAACCACAAGAACTTCATAAACACATGGAAATTAAATAGTACCCTACCAAACAACCAATGAGTAACAGATGAAACTAAACAAGAAATTAGATAGTTTTTACAGTTTAATGATAATGACAATACAACATACTAGAACTTGTGGGACACAATGAAAGCAGTCTTAAGAGGAAAATTTATAGCAGTAAATACTCATGTCAGGAAAATAGAACAAGCACATATAAACAACTTAATTTGAACTTCAAACTTCTAGAAAAAGAGATAAAAACGAAAGAAAAAAACAAACAAACAAACAAAAAAACAGACCCAAAGATCAATGGAGCAGATTAGAAGAAGCAGAAACAACTCCAGACACACTAAGCCACCTCTATCTTTGACAAAGAAGCCAAACACATTCACTGGAAGAAAGGGAGCCTCTTTAATAAATGATCCTGGA